TTAGCAATTTATATACTCTAACCCTACAATCTAGATTATTAACGTTTAATATACTTCTAGATTAGTATATAAATATAGTTACTTTATTATATAAAAATAAGTTCCTGAAAGCTACTAATCTATTTGATCTATAATATCTTATACTAATAGCTTAAGATGTCTCTTAGGGAAATATACTAGTTATATACTAACCTAGTGCTTTTATTTAGCTTAATGGAGTATATAGTATATATAGTGGATCTAGTAGGGAAATATCTATTGGAAATCTAGCTCTTAATGGAAAGACTATTTCTAAGGTTGTGGATAGGAAGAGCTTCCTAGAAGTTAGAAAATTAATAGTCGGTAATAATACTAGGTATACTTTTATATTAGATTTTTATATTAGAGAACCTCTAATTTATAGACTTATAGTTTTTAGTATTAAGTCTTATTTAATATACTAACTATAATAATCTAAAATCTAAACGATATCCTAATAACTTACTTAAATAAAAATTAAATATACTTATTATCTATTATTGATTCGAAGTTCTTTCTAATGTAGACTAGATTAATATATTACTAAACCTTAATTTGTATTATCTTTAATATAATAGAGTATATATTAAAACCTAACTCTTGTTAGAGTCTTTAGAAGGCCAGCTTAATATATAATATATTATATAAAAACTATAATTTAAATATAGTAGAGCTAGTTAATCTAGGTTAGTATAAAGGTTAAGTCTATAACTTCTATATAGAAAGAGTTTCTCTAGATAGGTTTACTATTATATAGTTTATAAATATATTAGATATATTAGCTTATACACTTAGGATCTGATTTAACTTTCTTTTAATAGATTTTAGCTATTCTAAGGAAGTTAAGGGATCTCCTCTTAGACTTTTTACTAAGATAGAAACTATTACTCTAGGTATCCCTAAGCTTAGCTATTATAAAGTAAAAGTATTCTATAACTACGGTGTAGAACGTAAAATATTTACTGATGTTTCTTAATTTAAAAGAGTAATTAAGAGGTATAAGATAGATTATCTTAAAACTCTAAGTAGAGATAAGAATCTTAATAAGCGAAAATATAGTAGTTAGTTTATTGTTAATATAAATAATATAGATATTAGAGATGAATAAATAGTATATCTATAAAATAATTTAGATATAGATTTAGTAGAAATATATAGGGTATTCTTATCTAATTATTCTATTAATAAATTCTATCTATTTAGTAATATTAAGGATAACCCTAATTTATTCCTAATCTAACTATTAGATAAAGGAATATAAGTTCTACCCTCTATATCTTAGTTAGTTTTTAATAATTTAATACTACTTTCTATATTAGATAGTAGGTCTAGGGATCTAATATAAAGTCTAGTAAATTACTATATATCTAAATCTACTAGGGGGATTACTATATATAATATCTTATTAGTTAAGGATAAAAGCCTTACTAGAAGTAATATTCCCTCTAAATATATATTTATAGAGTAAAAGATCTTTATAGATTACTTAGTTCCTATAAAAAGCGAAGATATAAATAGGAAGTTAAAATTTAGAGATAAATATAAGTTTCTCTATTCTAATCTTTAAATTACTTCTTACTAAGAAACTAATAATATATTTCTATATCTACTTTTAGAATAGTAAAGAGCGACTGGATGATTTCTATACTATATTATTTTTAACGAAGTATACTATATATAACTTAAAGACGAAAATTTTATAAAAGTAAAATCTTAGTCTAGATCTTAAAGTTAAGCTATTTCAAGTCAAAGAAAACAGCCTAAAGATATAGATTAATAATGATGTTATTAAGTAGATTCCTAATAAGCAGACCATATCGATAGAGATTTCTTAGCGTCTAGTCTTAGATAATAGTACTAAAGATAAAGAAGTATCTAGAATTATCGAAGTCAAACTATACTGTTAGATATAGCCAATAATTTTCGGGCAATACTTTACTTATCAACAAAATAGTATAGAGTTAACTAGTTCATTTCTAGTACTTTGAGCCTCTAATAATCAGGATGAAATTCCTGACGGGCTGGCCCTAAGCGACTTAAGGATAAAGCCAGAACCTCAAAATTAAATAAATAATCGTCAGTCAACTCAATTCTAAGGAAGCGTATATAGTATTACATGGGATGGATGAATTTAATACTGTCCAAACTACTAGTCTTTACTGTGTAGTGGACCCAAAATGGTTGTGTTGTGCTTTTCTTCTTTGTTCCTTCTAATCAAGCCACTTTCGACGGCTGGCGATAAGATATTTACAGGAGAATCAAGGGAAAATGTTATTCCGCGCTAAAAGAAAAATATCGATAACGTCATTTTATGGCCGCCCAATTCAAGCCGGGTATATCTGCTGCCGAGAGAGAGATAGCTGTTCGTCTTTCAAATATAAACCAAAACAAGCAACGAAACGCTTACACTCAAAACCACACCTTTTAAGGTGGATTGTACTGTCCCTGATCAATTTACTCTACCGATTATCTCTCAGCTGGCAGCCAAGACGTGCTCACTGACTCCATATTACTTCTCTTTTGAAAGCTAGAGGTTCACCATCAACGGCACATATAGGATAAATATGGCTGCGGTGCCCAATTTGAATCTCTCTGCACAAGAGCTTACTGATATATTACCGACCGGGGTTGTATTTCTTAATCAAAATAACGAGTCAATCATGGTGAACCGGCGTTTCCGGGAGCTCATAACCTGCTGCAGTGCTAGATCATTTAACTGCTGGTCAAAATCTATCCACCTAGAAGATTACGACCACATAGCTACTGCTTATCTTAAGACCTCATGCTCTAAGTATACTTTACACATCGAGTTCCGCACTCACAACCAAATCTCTCTCTGGTATGTTCTGATATTAGCTCCCTTAGATAATATTGATTTGTACCGGCTTAATCTAAACGGTAGCAGCTTTATTTGTACTATCGTAGATATTACCCAAGAAAAGACAGCTGAGCTGTTTCAAGTGGAAATTGCACGAGAAGTGTAATAGCGTAAAAAACAACAGGAACGATTTATTGATATGATCAATCATGAAGTCCAAAATCCTCTTTCTACTATTCTTTATTGTACAGAGAATATACTTAAAGCCGTGAAGGACAAAGAAAGTAGTTAGATACCTGTAGCAGATATTACATAAGCAACAGAAACAATCAGTCTCTACATTGCACATCAAAAGAAGATTGTCGATGATGTCCTTACATTCTCGAAACTAGATGTATTAATATTGACCTTATCACCGCGAAGAGATCAACTAAAACGATACTTGGTATAGACATTATCTATATTTCGGCCACAGCTTCGCAAGTAAGATATTTAAATTGAATATAAACTTAACACTTCTTACGCAGATTATAGGATTGAGTGGGTGTTAGCCGATCTCGGCCGGATAGGCCAGGTTCTTATCAATCTGGTTTCTAATGCTATCAAATTCACTACCAAAATAGATAGTAAGCAAGAGATCGGAGTCTCAATAGGTGCCTCTACGGAGTGACCGCCATCTTATCCTCCTAATGTAGTATTTTTTGAATCTGACGAAAGTGCATATCGCTTGGATGCCACTACTATATCTAAGTAGGGAGATAGCCCAGTCGCGTATGTGATGGTTGCTGTGAAGAATACCGGGATTGGTATTAGTAACCAAGCTCAAAAGCGGCTCTTTGAGCACTTTAACCAAGCAACACCTAGGACTGAGAGCGTTTACAGTGGCTCAGGTCTTGGCCTCAATATAAGCAGAAAGCTCTGCCACCTTTACAGTAGAGAAATCAGCATAAGCTCAAGGAAAGGGAAAGAAAGCACATTTAGCTTCTTCTTTAAGGTCCGGCGGGACATTAAGCCATCTAGTCTCGATCCGCCCAATTACGACGAATCCGAAATTAACCAGTTATATAGTGGGATCCAAGCAATGGGCAACAAGGTCACCGGGATCAAAAACCGGACGAAATCTCCCGAAATTCCCGAGAATCCCATTATTACTCACATTCCGGAAATCTCCCCGGAGGCTACGAGTGACGATAAATACAGACATACTTCGAAACTGGTCTACTAGACTAAGCCTAATGAGCCTTCCGCGAGCAACCACCAAATTTTGTACCCTGATCTAGACGAACCCACGAACAGTCCAGGAGCGTACGAACCGATTAGCATGAAATCCGACACAAAGGAAAATCGACATATTCTCGTCGTAGAGGATAATAACATTAATCAACAAATTATTTCCCGGAAGCTGCAGTCCTTAGGATATCATGTTTCGGAGGCGACGAACGGCCAGGAGGCGTTGGATACTGTCCAACGTAATGAATTTGACTGTATTCTCATGGATCAAGAAATGCCCGTTATAGATGGAAAGTCTGCGACTATAGCAATCCGCAACCTTGGTAGAGAGAATACCCCTATCCTTGGGGTCACTGCAAATGTGAGGGCGACTCAACAAATAGAGATGTTGGACGCTAGTATGGACGATATTATCCATAAGCCATATCGAACGAATAACTTGTTTAAGAAGATCAATCAAATAATAATACTCAGATCGAAGGTAAAAAACCAAAAATTGTTGGACTGACTGCTATATATAAATATTGAATTACTTGGTGGCTGAAGAAAGCCGAATACAGCGGACTTACAGTCGAAAATATCTGCAGAAGCTTGGCGTAGTTTGAAGGTGTCAATGCCGGCCCCTATGATTTTCTTGTGACCTCTTTCTAACTAGATCTAGGAGGCTCCGAGCATAGTAATAATAAGTTAAGGCGGAGTAAAAATAAATATAAAAAACATACCTTCAGGATGCTCGCACGCATAGCTAACTAACTGATATGCATTCAGTTGACGGCCTAGCGCCTTGGCAATGGAGTCCATCATAATTAAACGAGTGCAAATTAATGACGCCGATTTTGCATTTCTTCGAGGCCAACAACTGATTTGTTCGCATATCTATCTTGGGTCTGTCGATGTGGGTATGCGGTCAAACGTTAATATCTCTCTTTACCACCTATGTATCACGAACAGCTTCCTTCTTCAATAGTGCTACTACAGACATGTTCCCTTGTGCGGATGCCCAAAAAGCCGGTGTCCGGCCATCACTGTCTTTAAAGTCTGGCTCAACATCGTCGCGCTTTAACAGTGTCCTCACCACGTGAGAATGGCCACACAGAGCAGCATAGAGAAGTGCTATACGTTGATGGTTGTCCTTCAAGTCCGCTGGAACATCCTTCCTCTCTACCAGTAGCCTGACCAAGTCGTGATGTCCCTTTCCTGCTGCCCAGGAAAGTGGTGCTCGGCCGCTCTCGTCGATTGAGTCTGCCTCAACCTCGCCACAATCTAGCAGCGTTCTCACCACATCAACATGCCCCTGCATCGCAGCGTAAGATAGTGCTGTGCGATGGAATCGATCTTTCAGGTCTACTTGAGCAGCTTTTGTTTCCATCAGTATATGAAGTATGTCATGATGTCCTTGTACCGCTGCCCAGATAAGCGGGGAGCGGTCATCATTGTTATTTACGTCCAGTATCACATCGTGATGGCGCAACAATAGTTTTACCACACCACAGTGACCTTGCACAGCCGCTTTTAAAAGGGCACAATAGCCATAAATATCCCTTTTCTTTAAATCTATATCCTTTCTCCGCAGTAATGCTCTTACTATGCATTCATGCCCATGCCAAGCTGCTATTGACAATGCCGTTCGGCCTTTATGGTCTTCCAGATTTGCCCCCAGATCATTGCGGTTCGCTAGTTCCCTCACTATAAATTCGTTGCCATATATGGCTGCGCAAAATAGTGGGGTTTGGCCGTAATAATTTTGAGAATTGACGTGTGCAAGTTCACATGTTAGAAGACGTCGAGAAAGTTCTCTCTCATCCATTTGGGCGACAATATGCATAATGGTATCACCATTTCTATCTTGAATAGAAGATGGTGATAGGTGAAGAGTTCTGTAAGGTCGGGGATGGCATATAGGAGAGAAAGTTGGTCATAGGGCTTAAGAAACATTAAAATGGAAAGTAATATTTCTGGCGGGAGATAAAGAAAGCTGCCGGGTATTGCCATGGTATCGAACAGTAGTATTTGTAGTATATACAGTCAACTCTCATTTATTGCACACCGACTTATTGCACACTCCCGCGTATGAGACACAGTTTGCTTGGATAGACCCACTTTTTTGATTTTATATACAAATCTCCCGCTTATTTCACACTCACCTTTTCACACAACTTTTCAGCTGAGTCATCCGCTTAGTCATTTATATCGACCAATCAGAATGCTCAAACTTACTGATCTTTCATCTAGATAAGACCGAAACTGAAGCTCAGACCGACGAGAAGCGTCAGGTGACCTTAGAGGATATAGGATACAAGCTTAAATAGGCAATAGGGCTTAGGGTTATCTGACTGATTAATTACATCATTCTCTCATCATTGCACCTCCCGCCCATTATACACAATTTTCCTTGGATAGAAGGGTATGCAATAAGTAAGAGTTGACTGTATTAGGTATTTTTAGCTTAACTATGAGATATATATATAGCTGACAAGATATAGGCAGCTATCATTTTTCTTATAATACTACCAATAACTCTTACTGTAATATTCTAATACTATCCTTAGCTTATTGTTACAAGCTGGTCCTGCTATACAGTAAGTAGACACAGTCCTTTGGTCTATACGTACCTCAAGTGTATTCCGCAGTCGTACCGTTGCCTTAAAGCCTTACACGGGCTCAGACCTATAGGGATACAGTCAAAGCCCACTAACGGTACACCCTCCCATCCCAAGTAAACTATATACTGTAAATGGATTGTACCGTTTATGAATGATGACATAATATTAAAACTATATAGCCCTAAGCCCTATTGCCTATTTAGGCTTCCATCCCATATCTTCCAAGGTCACCTGACGCTTTTCTACATCCTGAATTCGGCTGAAAACACTGATTAAGCTCTCAATCTGACGTATATCGTCTAATGTGATCATTTCTTTACTTCCAGCCCATAGTAATATACTCTGTATATAAGCCATGACCTCAGAATTAGATAATATCTCTGGTGGTGGCCCGTTTTCTTCAAGATCTTATGCTTCTAAGCTCTCCGCATCAATATATATATCTTGGCCATCGGTCTCATCTTGGCTATCAGTCTCATTTTCAACAATATCTTCCTCTATTGGATTCAAGAATTGATCAAATGGTATAATATCATCACAGCCAAGCCTCTCAATTGATTTATTATACAAAGCTTTGATCTCATCACTAAGCCCTGGCTCTAAAAATGGCTGAGAATTGACTTCGGTCCTATCTCTGCTTTCGGTCTTATCCTTCTGCTTTGGACGAATCAAAGAACTCTTAATAAAACAATTCTTGATTATTTCATCTGATACTAAGCTCTTCCAAACCTAAGTAATCCAAAACAGCGTATAGGAGATATTCATCCGAACTTTTAGGTCAAGACCTCGATCAATAATAGCAATCATCCATCTCATCCATTTCTTCCAATAATGATGCTTAATATTTTAGATGATTCCCTAGTCCAAAGGCTAGTAAATTAAGGTTGCATTTACTAGGAAAAATAGGACCTTAATATAGTTTGGTGGCGGGGCTTTCTTAAGACCAGCAATATACAGAGAAGTATTATCAAGAAGTAACAATACTTTCTTATGTATAGGAATACATATATAAAAAGCACATAACCACTCCTTCATAATATCTTAACACATCCAAGCCTTCTTATTCCAGCGCCATATACAGCCCAAACCCCAGAAATCATATCCCCGGAGCGCACAAGGGGTTTTTGCTATTCCAATCACCCATAAAGGCATTCGGTCTAAACCATCTGCATTTATTATTACAACAAGAGAGATTCGAGTCTTATCTTTCTTTTTTCCAGCAATTTTTCTATCAGAGAGACCCCCATTTAGCATTTATCGCCAAAATAGGCCAGTTTCATCCATATTATATATCTCAGATGGTTCATATTGGTCACATATTATACAAATCTCTTTCATCTGATCATATATAGAAGATAGGACCGAAGCAGCTTCTCCATAGAAGGTATAATATCGAATATTATACCGCTTTTTAAAGCGAGCAAGCCATCCATCTAAAAAAGCAGGTTTTTGTTAATTTTGATATTCTAGGATACAGGACCAAAGCTCATTTGCCTTAGTCTAGATCAAAGAGCCTATGATTGGAAGCCTGTTATTAATATACCCACTAACCCAATTAGATAGCCTTTCGTCTAGAATAGGCCAGAATAATAAAGAATTTCGCATACTAGCCCTATTAGACTATATATCAAGATAATCATATCGGGATAAAACAATTCTTGAGACCGATACACAACTAATCTTATGATCAAATTAGGACTCGAACCAAGCTGCGCAAGCAGATTGTATCAGTTTTGGACAAGTATTGGTCCAAAAGGCACGTAATGCCTGCTTCTAGGCATCTGATATGCCTAATCGGGTATATTTTGGTGATAGTAGTACAGAAGATGCCTTAGTAGCTGATCTAATACATAGCAGAGATAGAAGATCAGAGGTTTTAGATATTCTGATTAGTTGATTTAGCTAACCAAGCGAATAACTCAGCAAAGATAGGATAAAAAGGGGTGTACCAAGATGAATTTACCGTAAGTGAACGTTTTATATGTAAAAATCAAGAAAAGTAGGTCCATCCAAGCGAATTGTATACCCTAAACGCGATTGTACCGTAGGCCGCCATACCATTAGTAGGCTTTGACTATACTTACAAAGGTTGTGCAGAAGGAGGGCTCTCAATAGTTTATCAGGGACGAACTATTAATTGGATTTAAGTCGCGTTTAAGAAAGTCAGACCGAAATATAACTAGGGCAATAATAAGGGTAAACTAAGTTACAAACTATATTGCTAGAAGCAGTAATCCAAGTATAATAATAAAAATTGAACACAAAGAACTAAATACATGATAGTAATGACTATCCTTATATATCCTAGTCCTCCGTATACTCCTGTAGTGACTCCCCGTATACTCCTGGGGTAGATCGGGAGTAGGTAGTCATATGATTCGGGAATGCACAATTATCTAGAGGTATAGGTTATAGCGGTTAGTAGGAGGCCATTTATAGCTCCTTTTCCGAAGTGTTTTCAAGTCCCGGTGCCTGGGGATCCTTAGGTACCGGATCCTGCACATAACTTCGTAGCTCTATGTTGAACGTAGAACTGATTGGCTCTCGTTAGTCCAAAAGTTAGACTTAGCCCCGGTAGGACCGTAACACAAAGCTTAGCTTCTCGCATATTCAACAGACAGGGCTATTCGACTTTAGCATAACCTTAGATAGTTTAGAAGCACTTTAAGAGTAAAAACCGTGGACCCTCGGAGAAGCCCAGAATTATATAATCAATTAGTCAGCTAGCCCTAAGCCCTATTGCCTATTTAAGCTTCCATCCCATATCCTCCATGGTCACCTGACGCTTCTCTTCCATCTGAATTCGACTAAAATCACTGATTAAGCTCTCAATCTGACGTATATAGTCAGATGTGCTCTTTTCTTTGCTTCCAGCCCATAGTAATATGCCCTGCAGATAAACCATAACCTCAGAATTAGATAATATCTCTAGTAGTAGCCCGTTTTCTTCAATATCTTGTACTTCCGAGCTCTCTACATCAATATATATATCTTACCCATCGGTCTCATCTTGCCCATCGGTCTCATCTTCAACAATATCTTCCTCTATTGGATTTAAGAATTGATCAAATAGTATAATATCATTATAACCAAGCTTCTCAATTGCTTCATTATATAGAGTTTGAATCTCACTAGTCAACCCTGGCTCAGAAGTTGGAGGATATAGTTCAGAATCAGTTTTAGTCTGATCTTTAGAGTTCAGACGAATCAAAGAGCTTTTAATAAAACAATTCTTGATTGTTTGATCTGATACTGAGCTCTTCCAAACCTGAGTGATCCAAAATAGCGTATAGGAGATATTCATCCGAACATATAGGTCAAGACCTTGATCAATAATAGCAATCATCCATCTCATCCATTTCTTCCGATAATAGTGTTTTAAATTTTGAATGATTCCTTGATCCAACGGTTAATAAATAGATGTTGTATTTACTGGGAAAAAAAGAACCCTGATACAGGCAGGTGGCGGGGCAGACTTTAGGCCAGCAATGTATAGAGAAGCATTATCTAAAAATAGCAATGCTTTCTTATGTAAAGGAATATGCCTATAAAAAGCACATAACCACTCTACCATAATATCTTAACGCATCCACGCTTTCTTATTCGAACGCCAGACACATCCCAAATTTTGGAGGTTAACTCCCCAGAGAGCACATGGTATTTTTGCTCTTCCAATTAACCATAAAGGCATTCGGTCTGAACCATCTGCATTTGTTGTTACAATAAGAGAGATTCGAGTCTTATCTTTCTTTTTTCTGGCAATTTTTCTATCAGAAAGACCCCCATTTAGCATTTATCACCAGAATAGGCCAGTTTCGTCCATATTGTATATCTCAGATAGTTCATATTGATCGCATATCAGACGAATCCCTTTCATCTCATCATGAATAGAAGATGGGACCGAAGCAGCTTCTCCATAGAAAGTATAATATCGTAGATTATATCGGTTTTTGAAGCGTGTAAGCCAACCTTCCGAGAAAGCAGGTTTTTATTAATTTTAATATTCAGGGATTCAAGACCAAAACTCGTTTACTTTGATCTAAATTAAAGAGCCAGTGATTAGATAACCACCATTGATATGCCCGATAGCCCAATCAGAGAGCTTTTGGTCTAATATAGGCCAAAAAGATGAGGAAGCACACATATTTGACCCTGTAGGCCCTGTATCAAGATATTCATATTGGGACGAAAGAATTCTTGAGACCGATATACGATTAATCTTACGGTTAAATTGGGACTGAAACCAATCTACACATACAGATTGGGTCGGTTTAGGGTTGGAATTAGACCAAAAGGCACATAATGCCTGCTTCTGTATGTCTGATATACCCAATCAGCTACGTTTTGGTAGTGGCAGGGCAGCTTGTATGGCCGGTCTGACGCATAGTAAGAGTAGAAGATCAGGCTTTTCAGACATTCTGATTGGTCGATATTGATAACTAAGCAGATGACTCAGCTGAAAAGTTGTGTGAAAAGGTAAGTGTGAAATAAGCGGGAGATTTGTATATAAAATCAAAAAAGTAGGTCCATCCAAGCAAACTGTGTCTCATACGCGGGAGTGTGCAATAAGTCGGTGTGCAATAACTGAGAGTTGACTGTATTTATAATAGATGCGCACCAGCTTCTTTAATCAGCTTAGCGGCAACCAGTTTCTTCACTCTATCCATCAATTAACTCCCACTGGAGACAAACATTAGATTCACCTCCAGGAGCTGATACCCTCATCAAGTTGAGGGCCCCAGTAACTCTAGAATAATCCAGCCATATATTTTGTTCGGGCCCGGGAATACCGTAGACGGTATTATAGTCTGAAGAGTACCGAATCTCTCCAGAAAATAACCCAAGGGAGTCAAGTCATTTTAGCTGGCATTCAATACAACGTTTTTGTACAAACTTTTTGAGTCTCTTGTGTATATACTTACTCATTAAACTCACTAGCTCGGAATACGAAAGTACAATTATACCTTGAAAGCCGCCATAGCAAACAAGATATCTTCCATAGCTACATCAGGATTCGCAATAAGCTCGCACACTTTTCTATCAGTATCCAGCAATTCAGAAGCCCTTAGCATCAGTAAATATTACACCCCCTAAAAGTCTTGAAATAGTATAGCACCTTCTCTACCAGAGTCACTAAGAGAACCCATCGGCTTTAAATATCCTAGATTATATATAACCTCAACTTCTTACTAAAGCGACGCTGCGTTTCCTTCATATAAATTTCGAAACCATAGGAATTTCAGATCCCGAGAAGTTTGAGATAATTCGATTGTTGAAGGTATACCTTCTAGCTTGAGGTTCTTACTCAGGGCCATACATTTAATACAACTATTGAAAAATTGGAAAGCCCGTCGAGCAGCCTCTGAAGTACTTCCCAAACAGTAGAGCCAGGAAAGACCCTTTTTCACCCCAGCCCAAAGTAGACCTACCGAGTCAATAGGAAATACGATTTCTTCCAATCTCGTTGGCACCGGACCAATTAAAATATTAAGAAATAAAATAACATTGGCCTGTGTAAGAACATAGAGTAAACCCCACCACTACGGGATCTGGTAGCACCAAGCCAGATCCGGCTGGTCTAGCAGTAGTGCAATAACAGCCAGGAAGGCCCAAAGATAGCTTAGGACGACTGTATCCGCAAATCATTCGCTAGAACCCCACAAGCCATTCTTCTTTTCAAAAGCAGGACTGTTAAGGCACAGTCGATTGAGCACAATGTGAGTACTATAGTAATTTAGAGCGAGAGAAAATTGAATTGGTGACCTGCTCACTAGCAGGCTGATTCGACTACCTTAAAAAGAGAAGGAGGGGTATATAGTCGATACCCAATAATCTAGCTTCTTACTATAAAAAGCAATACAGCTTTCAACCCTACCCCAACCTACCCGCAAGCTGTCGATCACATATATTTTATTTGTGATATTATAGGCAATCAAAGCCAGATCCACCATATAGAAAAAGTAGAGAGACTAGGAGGGCGCTAAAGAGTTTATAAGCGTCCCTTAAGAATCCATTTGCTCCTTACCCATATATATCGTCCACTGGAGCTTATTGATAGGCTAAGCGATGTCGGGGACCGCAATATCCAGACCTAGATTAAGAATTGGCGGAGGTACGGAGCAAGAATTAGTTCCAAGACAAGAAACTCTCCCAGTCATGACAAAAAGATGATTTTCTAAGCGGAAAATCGACCACCACAGCTGCTTCCGCGCTTCTCCTAATTTGACGTCAAGCCCGTTGATCCTTTTATCAAGATTAAGCCCTAGCGCGATGTCTGAACATAAGACAGTACCAATCATGTTCCATGACCTAAGAGGTTGTTAAGATCCAATAAAATGAAGAGCGTCCTTCTGAGGGTAATGAGAACGACATACCTATTTATCTACAACTGAATTAAGAAGAGAAAGGCCATGAGCGCTTCGGCCTGCACTTGCTACAGACCATCATGGTCATAAAGAATATTTTCTGAAAGACTGAGAGATCTAGCTCGCACAGTAAACAGGTTTTCATCGGCCCCCTGCGGCATTTCCAGTATAGAAAGTCAGCTCAAAGCATAAGCGATGGCTAATATCATATTAAAGACAGCCAACCATTTCCTACCAGGGTTTTTTCCCTCCGAGTAGCAGCAATTATACTAAGCAACAAAAAGATCCGGTCGAATGATTGGCAATAAGATATAAACCTTCTCTAAATAAACCCGTAATAACATATCTACTAATACTTTTGGTGGCAAAACAACAGCATTAGTCTTGTCTGGTTCTAGTATACTCTGATAGTCCAGGTAATAATTCATCGATACGATTGAACCGTCAATTAGGTACTAGAACTATGAAGTCAAACTTGGAGTCATTTCCTTGTCCCTCTACTTCGAAGATTGTAAGTCCAACCGCTGCATCCACACAACTTCAGAGTTTTATCCAATATATCCAGTCGCTCTGCTCTTTTCACTTCGATCGAAATCTTCGTCCACGGCAGAGATCTGCCCCTAGGAAGCGAGGGACAACAAGAATGTGCTAGAAGATCTTCTATCACTCCCCTTTTTCTTTGCTTGCTTTAGCTTCTATCAATATCTATATTAACCTACTCACATATTGATATTACCCCCTTACAAGCACCTAAACATACTTTAAGAGCCTTAGCAACTCGGTCGGCTATAGGCCCCTTAAGTCCTTAAGAAATATCCTCAAGCAATTCCCAATAACTCTCGATTTCTTTCCGCATCAATCCAAGTTCATTTTCCAGTCGAACTTCTTTCCTTTCAGGATAAAAGCAATGATTCATGTCTTAAGCACAGCACTGTAAGCAGGCTGGCCTGCTCCCATCGCATTTACTTTTACGATCTCAGCAAGATTAGCAAGCCCAGCTAACACGCCCAGCAACTCTTTCTCGCCTTTCGCGTCACAAGCGTAGAATAGGAACCTTAGCCGACATTTCCGCACTGTAAATGTTTGATCTAGAAACTTCAAAAGCCTCGACAACAGGATAGGTTTCGAGGCGATTGTGGTAGCCATTAGATCTTAATATTTCAAAAAGCCAACAAAGAATACTTCACAAAGCTGCGGGGTTTAGAGCACATCTCTCATTTAATTCGCGGAACACCTTCCAAGAGATCTGATTGGTCCTTAGTCATTGCCAAGAACGGATTATATAACTTAGACCGTCCTCGGCCAACCAGAGTCGTCCGATTAGAGCACAAACAGCTACATCCAATTCCTCATTTGCATTTTGATTTTCTTTTTACGTCATCGTGTTTTTGTTTCTCTGTCTGGACATTTTTGTAAGTCATGGAAACTAGAGCTTAAAACACTATCGTACTAGGAATCATAAATGATGAAAGTTGGCGGTCCGCTATTCAGCTGGGACCGGAGACTACGGTCTACGGTACCCAGGAAATTCGGGCTAAAGCGTCAACCAGAGAGGATATTCACATCTCCCAAACAACCATTTTACAACAGACACATAATCAATTAGGACTAGAATCCCCTCTAGCCACGTAGTGATTACCAAAGACTTCCTTAGTCTTAAGTTCTGTTATTGATCTTGCTATACATTTCCATAATATTGATTTGCCCACGTGATAAAAGGCAGGAAAAGTAAATAGGTATACAGAGATGACTAAAGGGAGGAATACAGCCTATTTTATTATAACCCATCACTCAATCACTCAAAAGGCCGAAACAATCACAATAGGGCTCTATTCCAGTAGCTCTAAATAATCACGACATAGAAGGTACACTTTAATAAGATAGTCCAATACAACTATAGCCCAGCGCCACACTCGAAATCGGCTTGATCGTTATACACATTCAACCATTATTTTCTAGTTTCACTACCAAAACCTTAGCGCAGATCATAAATTAGATAGGCGCAGTAAGTTGAGGGACACTCCAAGACGCTGTTCATATGGCATTACAACTTTAAGTGCTGCTCAATTTACACAATGTATACACTAAGTGTCAGCAGAATAGACCGTAGAAGAATTAGATAACTTCAGTCTTCCAAAACATCTGAGGACCCAAAGGAAAAAGTTATTTCTCCTTATGTGCCAAGGGCCTCAAGGCATCTGATGGCTCACCAAAATATAGAAGAAAAAAGCCGGCTTCACCCCCATTAAACGGCCGCAAGCTCCAGCCAATTGACAGCCTTTTTGCCTCACCATAATACTTCGTCAATATATCACGCTAACGTAAATCGTCACAACGACTTACATTTTAGCAATATATATACCTAGTAGAAATCTGCCATTTCATTACAAGTATTAAAATCAATAAGTTTTTGATGGAGCACCCGTCTGAAAACAATAGAGCCAATGATTTTGGTTTTGATCCCGTCTCTCCAACAAAGCATACGGAAGACCGAAAGAAAGAACAGATTACGAGGAGCAATTATAGTGCCTGTGAAAGAAGCCTCTACCACCGAGTAAAGACGAAGCTATCTCTTGACGAAACTAAGACTCATACTATGCCAAGCCTCGGGAGCCATTCCTCAGAAATCATCCTCAAATACCCAGAAAACTGGACAGCAACGGAATTCTGGGGGTTTGATCCACCTGGTACCAATCAGGGAGACTTCGCGTCAGGAAAAATCTATATACAGCATAGTCCTGAGAATCAAAAAGAAGCACGCCGAGGAAAGTATTCTACCTCTTAGGAAATAGTCAGCGGCCCGGTCTGCAACGAGAAAGTGCCTGTGCAGCTAGTTGCAGAATTCGATACCAAAAGCAACACGTTACCAATTGGGACTGGAATCCTCTGTGGCCACGTAAGTGACTACTAAAGCCTAGTGTTGTCATTAATCTCGCTATACAATTTCATGGAAATTATTTGCTCTCGTAAAGAAAGGCAGGAAAGTAGATAGGTATATTGAGATGAGTAAAAGAGAAACGCAGCCGATTTTTTCATGACCCATCAATCAAAAGACCGAAACAACTACGATGGAATTCTTTTCCGGTAGCTCTAAATAATCGCGACAAATAACTAAAGCTTTAATAAGTTGGTTACCAACCCAACTATGACTCTGCCAATTGTGTCCAAAAAGAGAAAGAAAAAAAAGAGGCGCGAGGGCCTCTTAAGATCGGACAAAAAGAATCTGACGCTTATGTTCGAAGGCCAGGACACACTTGGCATGCCCCCGCAAGTGCATCTCATGTAGGACAGACAAATCGTAAAATTGTACATTAAAAATTCAGAGGTAATGCGTAGAATCGCAAAGTACCTATCTCATATGCAAAACTTTGTATACTGATCCACGAAGCATTACTGCATAAGAATGATTGCGATACTCTCGACACTAAATAAGGCAGATTTTAGAACCATAAACTCCAATTATCAAAAGATTATAATGCTAAATTGAATAAGCTCGCAATCGTTTTGATCGACGCAGCGGAGGCCCTTTGGAAGCTTTCATGCTGTTCAGTCCCTTATTCTCTTCTATTTCTCCACATTGTGGCTTTTCTGTATGACGGGTTTTCCGAGATGAGGGCTTCATATGCTGAGTTTAAAACTCCGATTCTTGCGCAGGTGTGTGTTCTGCCACCTTTGCCATGCTCCTCGTCGATCGTCTGATTGGAGTTTCGGCTGAGTTGGGAGAAACATCTTTAACTGGTGATCCACCAGAGCAAGAGAGGAATTCAGTATCTGATTGACTGGGCAAAGCCATCGTAATGGGAAGAGGGGGTGCCTCCAAAAGGCGCGGATCAATATTTTCAGCACAAGGTCGACGGAGGAGGCGGGAGTCTCGGCCTTTTGTCGATTCTCCATCTCCAAAGACACTTCTCTGGATGAAACGTCGCTATAGTTAATTGGTGATACCTGTGGGAGATGACATAACTTGATTTTGATATTATATGAATGTTCAGTAGAAGCATGGGCCAAAAATTTGGTGATATCGCTGAACTGAGGGACGTTGCGACAGCTTTCCCAACTACAGCTTATTCCGTTGCGTGCATGGGTCAGATGCATGTCAATTAAGTGGCGACGAAGAGAGTCCTGTCGGTTGTTGGGGAATTTATGCGGAGGAGGATTCGATACCGATTGGCGGGATAGACCACAGCAAATGATGCATACATTCGTTGGACATTCCATAGTGTCTTCTTCGAGGCACAGCAATTCTTCTGACTGATCGAGCAATTCATCTTCATCATCAACATCCCAATTGACTCGATTGCCACGCCTGCTCGGCTCGTTCAACTGAATCAATACAACCATATCCTTGGTAACCTGGATACGTCGAGCGAGTAGTTTGTCCCTCGTCAAAGCTCTCTACATCGGGCCCATAGAAGTTTTCCACCAAGCGTGCCCGTTCGGCAAAAACATAATCAGGAACAGGGAATTCCCAGCTTTCATTATCAGTGTTTTCATCGTCAGAGACTTCATCGGACTCGTCGAGAAGTTGCTTTATCTGTCTGTCCACTTCTAGTACGGGCGCATTTTGGAAATGATCTTTCCTAGCTGCCTTTCTCGTGTCAGTTGCTAGCCTCTTTCGGAGTTTAGAGATTTCTTTTTTGACATTCTCATGCTTTTGGTAGAGATGCGGGAAGGGCTCCCGGGCATTTTTGATACTACCTGCCAAGGATATCATTTCCGCTCTGAGTTCTCTCTTCTCTCGTCGAAGCTGCAGAATATCCGGATGTTGGCAAATAGCACGTTTATGCGTTTCGGTGAGCTCGGATGGAGCATTAAGATCCCTTTTCCTGAGCATACTCCCGGCAGAGCGGAGTAACCCTTCCTGGGACGGTCGAAGAAGAACAACATGCTGGAGATCGCGTCCAATAAATTGCGATTGGTAATGCTTTTCAAAAACAGCATCGCCAGACTGACCAAGCACTCTTTGCCGCTCCTGACTGGTGAAATTGGCTAATTCTGCTTATTAGCCTCGGTGGAACTTCTTGTTTCTACGATGTTGTGGTTTTCGTAAATTTAGTGCGCAAATAACTTACGATTAACGTCGTTTGCCGTCCAACAGCGAAAATTATAATGTCCGATGTCGTCTTCAAATCTAGCATCTCGACCCAGTTCTTTTAGAGCCTGCCGACTTGATTCGTAAGTCATCGCTAGAGAGCCATGAAGTTCATAACCATACGGAGTGCGCTCAAAGCGTCGCAAGAGAGGTATATTGAGGACTTCGGGCTTCCACCGGAGGAGAAGGGAGGATTGATGTTTAGGAACTCGCAGCCGCCAAATAAGCTCAGGTGTGAGATCAGTATTGACAAACACTCCATCGCGGAAAGCAAACAAGATTATCTGAGCAATAGGGCAATATACTAGATGGTTAATCACCATACATAAAGAATTTGGTTCTAGTGTGAGCATCAGCATTTCGTATATAGCGCATAGATATATAGAAGAGGGGTTCTCCTACCCGTCAGCACCCTCCGGTCGACCTTTTAGATTACGAAACTCTATGATAGCACAGAGAACATCACGTTTGCTCTGACAGTCTTTCAGGTAGAAAAGTTCAATATCGCGATAGCAGACGGATTCGGGAAGATCTTTCAAGGATATGTACTTCGGAAGATCACTTTGGAAGGTATGAGCTCGTTTGCGCTTGCCCATAGACGACGATTCACCAGGCAGAGAAATATTTCGTGATAGCAAGACGCCGGGGCGAGTCCCAGTAATAGCAGACCATAGCTGTACTGTAGCAAATTGGACGATCATACTTCCATGTCGAAAGAACCGCGAATGGACCCAGTGATGCCGGTAGATCACACAGAAGACATCTACATCCAAAGTGTTCTTGTCCTTGGATCGTCGGGGGGATTTTGCGCTCGGCCGGGAAAGGCCCCTCGAGATACTATGTCGCGATTAATATTTAACTTTAAAAGAAGGAGATTTCTAAGATTAGACTGGGTCTCAGCTAGCCCATGATATTTCATATTCCATGAGTAAAGTTTTTGTTTAAACTATGGAAAGATAGAGCTTCCCCCTCGATTCATCATCGGGGAACCATTTAGACCTCAGTCTTATTCCCCCTTGTCTGCTGAACTATGTCTTTTTCTGATCTTAGTATGTCAATTTGAACTGTAGCAAGGGAGGTCGTTATTCCAAATGACTAATGCCCTTTCTGCTATAATCAGAACCAGTAAAGCCTAAAAGCATCCCATCAGTGGCATGCCATTTGCTCAAATGAATAGAAAAACTATCTCCAGACTTTGCAGTTACACCAAGAACAACGGTATCACCATGTTTGACCTCTCCAGTTGCATTTTGTGTCTCATTCTGAAGATACACATATGCTCCAGGATGTTTTTTTTTGCAGGAAGCGGAACCGAGGAGGCGGTGCAACTCACGTAGAGGCCCGTTGCAGGGTTCCTGAGAGCATATAGTTCGCCAAACTCGATCTAAAAAAAATCAACGTCTAAGTTGGCAGAAATAGATGCCTTCAGGAGTTTGGAAGTCAAAACAGCACCCCTGAATTTGATGCAATCCTTGACAACTAAGGATATCATAGCAATTGGTTCCGGCTTGAAACCTAGTCCTGGCTTGATCACTAGCAGGATGATTAGAATCGTTATCTGGGGAGGGCTTTTGGCGAACATACAGGGGGGGGGGATCCATTCTGTCCGATATACTGTCAGGTACTGAGATTGATCTCCATACCGGAGATGGAACATCCTGCCGGTCTTAGATTGCGCTTCCCGGAGCCATTTCCTATAAATTTCAATCCTCGATTTGTAGCGCCGAGCTACTGTCGGGCAGATTGTTGGGCACCATTCGGGAAGACTGGTCGGTACCAATTAGCAAATTTATGACTTGATCTAACAATCTTCATCAAAAAACTTACTCGTGGGCGAGAATGGGGCCAGTCTCAATTACTTGCCACTTCTGAGTGGCTTGCATTCTTATACTCAAATTAATTTTATTGCCACGCTTCCGCTCAGTTCCGCTATCAGATTTAGACAAACCAAAAACTTCAAAATCTTCCCTTTTACGGAGGATGCTAACTGGATTTCCATGGGCATTTAAGTATCAGGCGTGTTTCTTTGTCGCTTTCACGTGAAGGCTTCTGAGGCCAAACAGTGTCTTCCTACTCGGGATCATGCGCTGAATATACGCGGGCAAGATAGTTGTGGACAGACTAAAGCTGCGATAGAGAAAATAGAAATGGGTGAAGACAAAGCGAAGAAAGAATGCCTCGATATTGAAAATAACCAGCAACGCCCTGGTTCAAGTCATTATACCAATGCTTCCCCATGATCTTGCAACCGAATGTGATGTTGAAGACGGTTGTGTCGGTCATAGTATGCTGGCTCTGCGGAGCGGGATAATGTGCCAAGACCGCAAAAAAAGTACTTCGATGATCAAGTGAAATTTTTGTGCCAAATGCATTAATTTCTACAAAATTGCTGTTTGACAGTTTTTTTTTTCGTAAATTTGAAGATCAAAAACACACACAGACCGTATGCGGCCGTGTGAAAATAAGCCCATCCCGCCGTTTACTTAGACACAGATAACATAAAACAAAAATTTTAGTGAAGGATACTCTTCTCGTATGGTTTTAACATCTCCAATAAACTGGTGAACCGATGCTCCGTCTACATAGAACAAGGAATCTGGTGATCTACAACGGTGAGTCTGGGAAATTGGTGGTGGCGTTTTTGGAAACTTTAGGTCGGTCATGAACTTGAAAATCCGGGTATTGACCATACTGATGGTTAAAAAAGCACTCTGAAAAATCAACATTCATCCATCCTGTTCTAATTCAGGAATCCTCAATGATTAATTTGCTTGCTGGCATACTCACTATCGACAGGATGCATTTTCTTAAGTTATTTAAAAACTGCAATTGGTCAGAGGTTTTGGTATTCTACTTCTCCTGAAGATCGGCTTTAGGACTTCTTCCTTTTGAGGACTGCAGTTTATTGAAGAACAATAGTGTCGCCTGTTGATAAAATTTAAGTTTCTGGAATGGCCAGTGATCCTCCTTCACGGTTGCTTAACCCCAATTCCAATAGGAGATTATTTCGCCAGAAACAACTTCGTTGAAGATCAAGTTTGATGAAGAAAGCATTTGAATATAGTAAAATGTGCGACGCCGATGTGTGCCTCGGAATTCGCCTCCGCCAAACCGGTTAAATTTGCTGGTTTTTAGTAGATACCGCCGGCTTCTGGACCTTTTTTCATTTATAAGTAGTACGTAGCCCTTATGAATTTAGACGAGTACTTAATTGATCTTTTAGGGCTTGTTTTTCCCACCGCCGAATTTTCTCGCTAGTCGAGACCTAAAGAGCTTGAGCAGGAGGCTAATGGATATACCCGGCAAGAAGTTTTCATTCGATAAATCTAAAAAATAGTCACTCTGTATTCGCGAAATTAATTTTATAATCTAGAATTTATAAGATAAGAATTTTATATATAAAGAGATAGAAGTTTTTTTCTATTCTGAAATGATCTATATTGGAGTAGAGTAAAATAAGAGAACTCTTATAAAGGTTGATCTTTAGTCTTTTTTTTTATGCACAGTATTACTTCTGGAATTTCTCGCAAATGACAAAATTAAAGGTTATATTATTTAATCACTCCTATTCGAATCGCTATCCTCTTAGAGATATATGTTTTAGTTATTATGGTAAAGACTTGTTACCCTTAAATCTTGCGGCCTGCCTTAATTTTCTCTTGTATGTGCCCTTCTAGATCTTCTAAAAATAACCAGTGACTACAATCCAATCAGAACTAACTCCTTGCGAATATAAATAATCAGTAAGAAGGTGACCCTAACGACCTGATTATATCTATTTTGTATGAGATTCCCACTTATTGAACTAATGAATGATTCTGTCAAAATGCCTAGAAAAGCCGATATGGAATTTGATTTCGATTCTTTGACGGCCTAAGCTAATTAGCTCTCTGGAAAATCCTTCTATGAATATGATGGTACATCTACTTGATCCACCCATTATACAAATCGAGCTAATTATCTACATCGATATAGTAAACCGAAGATTATTACAGGCCGCCCTAAAGGTCTTTATCTTCCCTATCTATGTAGAATAAAAGATATTGCCTCTGTATTGATTGTTAGGTAGGAGTACCTATAGGACACTTATAGACAGGTAATCACCTGTGATATTACAGGGTCAGTGGTTCTTGTCTTACAATATTCCTACCTATCCCGCCTAGTGGCTATTCACCGCTACCTGAAGTAAGATGTTTATTATCTAATTAAGAGGTTTGGGAGACTTAATTATTCGAATATCCTCTTCGTCTAAGAATACTATATATATACTAATATATTATATACTTTTATTAATAACTTGCTACTAGTGCTTATATATATAATATCTTATCCGAATATTTATTCTACTGAGATAGAACTAGTATCTCTTATAGTACAGGTAAGTCTCTTAACCCCGTTCTAAGAATATTAACTAATAATAAAGATCCTTAATAGTATTTCTTATTTAAGTATATATAGATTAGCCTACCTAACTTTTGTATATTTGGACATTCTGCTCAATATGAATAGGATCGTTAAAATAGGTAAGCTTAACCTAATCTTCTATATATAGACTAAGCTTATAGAAATTTAGGTTGTTTAGAGGTTTATATAAACTATATCTTAGACTAAGTAGAGACTATATATACCGTTAAGCTTTTATCTATAATAATACAGCTTATATAAAAATACAATAAATCCGAAAACTTAGTGGGAATCGATAATTTACGTCAATAACCAGCTGACTTAAATGCTGTTGGGTTTTTTTCTATAACTACGGCAAGGGAACCTTTAGGGTCACTAAAAAAGGTAAGAAGTTTAGAAACTAAGCTTATCTGAGGTAATTGCTTACGGGAAATAGCACCCTCTCATCACCTCTATATATTTTCCACCGGCTGCTTTTATCACACTCACGAGGTCTGTTATACTTTCTGGTCAGGTGATATATACGATTTTTGAATGACAATGGTCTATACCATGATTTTGCAAAAGCCTTGGGCTGAATTCTTCGCACTTTGCTCGCATACAGCACAGAAAGACCTAGTCAGTGTTGAAACCGTTGAATATCGAGACTTATTTTTAGCGTCCTCTTTGGGCCCAATATGGCAAGCCATAATGGCATAACTACTCTGCCGACAAAGCCGCCCCATTTAATCGAAATTGCAACCATCACATCAAGTTCTCAACGGTATTTCTTGAACTCATTTTGCATCAGCTTGGCCAAAAGCTCCTGTACTGAGCTAAGGCCAGTGTACTTGTTATCGTTATGGGTACCATTTGTAGCATATTTTTCAAATCGGCTTCTAGTCAATCATCTGGTGCCAGAGGCAAATTCAAAGGACAACTTTCGCGCACTTGTTTGCGCACGTAGTTGCTATGTTGAGACATAAGCTATCATTTTCAAGATTGGCTTGACTCATAAACACCAACCATGTCTTGATAGACCGATGAGTGGGGCATTAGTAGCCATAGTTCCTTGGCGCAGCTGACACTTAACTGAGGCCCTCCAATATATGCGGTTCTTATACTACGTGGCCAAAAACTACACTTTGCCTCTATGGATAGGGCTCGAGGGTAAGTATTCGTAGGAGAAATTGATACTAGATGACATGCTTGTGCTTAGTCAAAGGCCAACTTTCGATGTTCAAAGATACGCTCTTAAGCTAGATATTTAAGTGCGGTGCTCAATCTAATCCGGCTCGATTTGGTGATCGGTGCCACTGCAGACATACTGTATGTCGTACCCGTCGATGTGGATTTTTTGCTCATAATCCTGCCAAAAAGTTATTTGGACCTTCTTAGTCTTCTTATTTCGCTGGTTCTTTACTTCCTCCTTACAGTATCTTCGCTCGCTTATTGGTGAGGCTCACTGATCTGTACAAAAGAGTTCAATTACATTGACCATCAAGCCTCACCACAGTTTGCGGAGTATGAGATATACCGTGTAGTATGATGACATATAAAGTCAAGTCATGGGTGCGATGAAATCAAACTAATCCAATTCTTGCATAATGGCGTTATGATGATTTTGTTTATCGGCATCAAGCTCCGCTTGGCTTGAACTTGCAGCCGATAATTCATACTTCTGAGAATTAGTTCCAAGCTCCGGTAATACTGGAACCTCTTGGTTGACCTTCCGCACAAGCTTCTTTCGCCGGCGCCAATAGATGTAAACAGCAACTAGCGCAAGCAAAAGCACTCCCAGTGCCGTTCCAAGACCAATGCCAGCGGAAGCGCTCGCAGAAAGCCCGTGTGTCCTGGTTGACTCTGTCCCCTCAGATGACGTTGTTGATTCATTAAATGTATTGCTTAAAGTGCCAGAGATAGAAGGCTTGGATGTAATGGATGATTCAGTAGTGGTGAGAGTGACGGCGCCTGCACTTTTGGTACTGGTGACAAAAACCACCGTCGTGCGCGGCATGTTGACCGAAGGTAGGAGCGTAATGTTGGGGTGCGAAGAGGTGAGTGAAAGCCACCACCGTGTAAGGGAGGAACAAAAAGGGACTTGGGATCAGCAATTAGAAAGCGAGATTGAATTTTGCCATTTGAACGCGGTCGCACTAACGATGGGAAAGACTAAATTAGTCAAAAGCACTTGCATATTAAAGGAATCACCTTGGTCTCCACCAGCAATCCCGCCTCGGGCTCTGCGAGGGCTTCGGAGAAGGGGCTTTAAGTGCATATGAATAGATCAGTCGGGGTGCGATTATCTTAACGGAAAACAAAACTCGTTTTTATCCACCTTTGCCTAAGACGCTGGGGTGCGAGATAGAGACGTCGGAAATTTAGACTGGAACTCGGACTATCACAGGAATTTGACACCATGCACCAAACTCATTCGCTTTATAGATAAGCTAGTGAGAACAATCAAGTAAACACACCTCTTTCCCGTAACACTTCGACAATCTTGAGTTGACTGCTTGCTCGGCGAGATTGTACCTCTTGATATCCAAATTAAGAAAGTCATTTTAGGCACTTAAAGGATCTTACAAAACAAATACAAATAGCATGCGACTGCTGTTGCTTTTTTTTGTGGATTATATCACTTGATACCAACTCGAGATTCAAAGAAACTTTTCTCGCCGATCCAACTCGCCGTATGAAAAGAGACACGTTGTCAGTGGAATGGGGAAGTAACCTGTGAGGGTCTCACGTATCGTTGAATGAGGAACGTGTCTTCCAAAGAATAATCAATATTAAGAAAGCTATAGTCAACTCTAGATACAAGACGTAGCGCGAGGAAACAAAAGAGAGAGAGCTTCCTCGCGTTCAGGGGAACCCAGATAAGCTATGTGGGTCCACATCCTCCACTTATCGTATATACATCATGTCAGTCTCTAACATAACCTATACGAAATCCTTGGACTCATCCTGGGACGCAACGTCTCAAAATTTTGAGATCTCACGCAGCTTTCCACTCAATCCAAGCCTCTACTCGATCTGAGATTCGCCGATGATTCTAGCCACTGTTTGAATCACGGACGACAGAGTAAAATGTATGGCCTGCTCGAGCTCTTTGCGGATGATACGATTCTGCACATCGGTGTTGGCTCCATCCAGCTGCTGCTGCAAGCTAGCCACCTGTTCTCTAACTTTACGAAACTCGTCGAGCACTGCTTGGTTTTCCAGGCTTAACCGTCGAATCTTTGCTTTTAGCTGGGCACGCTCAAGCTCAAACATTTGCGCCACATCGATCGCCGTCTGTTGCTGCTTCTCGAGACGTAACTTCAGTTGTCGCTGGCGCTCGTCGACGATCCGGATAAACTTGATACAGTTCGCGTGAACAATCCCAAAATTGGGGTCTCTCTTGTGCAGGGATGACCACCTCACGCGCCGGGTTGGCGACTATTAACCGAAACCGGCATAATTAGTTAAGAACAATTTGATCGGCCGAAGCAACATACCATGGCATTCATTTGGGTGCCCCGGGAGATATGAAGGTGCGGACGACCGGCTGTAGAACGATGAGGATGAAGCCTCTGGATTCTAGATTCGCCTGTCTCTGCTCGGGCTTGAAGCATTCGAGTAGGCATATTCGAATTCTGGACAGTGTCTGTCACCTTAGGCATGCTGGTTGACAGGAGAAAATAGAAAAAGATTATATTGCCGTATAAGCAGTAACACCTTTTCAAGTTTGGGGATGATGCTTGAATCGATGTAAATACCTCAATTTGACGAAAGGAAATGATCAATCAAATGAAAAGTAGGGAGTTGACATGGAGAAAGGCGTAGAACGTTCTTTCGCTTATTTTTGCTCGATGAGGGCGAATATGCTTTCTCCGACCATCGCCCAATCTCGGATCTTAATCCAACGCTAAACCGAAATTACATAGTGTAAAAATCGACACCCATTAATCCATGCGTCAACCTGCAACCATAAAAACACAGGACAAATAAAAAGGGGTAAAATATCTCCAGAGTCTCAACCAAGGATGAACCATGGGTCGACTTTGAGCTTGCGTGGGTCTTCCAATCAGAGCACCCCAAGAGGACCTAACACCTCTAAAAAATCTTCCCCACCCCACCGGAGTAAGTTAGAGCGGAAACTAATCATTCCTGAAGTCGTCCACTTGCAGATCAATTGTCTCGGCTAAATCGTGTGCACATATTGTTCTCGGGGCACAAGGACCAGTTCAAGTAGTCTTTTGTAGGTTCAGAGGTCATGCCATTGGCCCATTGCTGACTCGGCTAGGAGGCACAGGATTTTGCTCGCTTTACCATTCTCCTGTAACACGTTTTAAGAGAGCAGTAGCAAGAAGAATTTGTTTGCCGTGGGCCGTGTATACTCGATACCTGGACCGAGCCGTGAGCTCCACCATGGGGCGGAAGGCGATCATTCCCATGATTCAACCACGGTAGCATGTGCATGTCTCACATATGGTCACACGATACGTGGGATCCAAACCTCTCAAAAAGAATTGGCTGGCAAAAAAATATTGATGACGACCGCTGTTCGCTGACTGGGAGTGACGGGAATTTCTATAGCTCGGTCAAGCAACATGGCTTTTCGTTATGGTTAAACGGCCCGTTCAATTATTTCCAATGCGTGTTTGTGGACTAGTGAGATGGTATCACAGACAAATGAGTAAATCCAAAGTTTATCTCACGCCTTGCCTCTAATACTCTCTCCGAAAATGATGGGCAACATGGTGAAACACGAACGCTATGGACCGTTCATGTGGGTCTTATCTTGGACTGAGAGGCTAATTCTAGGTGAGAAAGAAAAAAAAAGTTTTCAATGCGGCAAATAGGGGCTTTAACCGTTATTTTTCATGTTTGATTAACACCCTCCGGTGGTTGACCGTCTTAGACGCAAGTCCACACGCCCTTGTCTATACACGTTTCCTAAAAGGTCCCTACTTTTATGACTATTTGCATGAAAATTTACTGGAGTTGAAGTTATGAGCTTAAAAAAAATACAAAGGGGGAAAAATGAAAAATCAGGATAAAACGGCAACGTTTGGAAGACATATCTCTAGCTGCACTGTTAGAGCCATCATTGCGTCTGCCTCTGCTAAGTGGAACAATTGTTCTCCACGCCAATTCCACTCACCAAGCCATAGATAGCTGTTTTCTACGAGGCCATCTCACAAATACTCCACAGGGGATGCTTTCATCTATAATAAGGTGGCACTTTACTCTCATCTCTGCAGTCTCACGTCCATCGTCGCTTTTTTTCACTTATCTGGCACTGCAATTGAAAATGCCTTCCGGTCAGAACTCATCCCCACAAATCGGCTCAAAGAGTTACAGGGAACGCCTTTGTCAGAGTCTGGCACCCCCTCGCCCTCAAAGGAAAAAGACAATCTGGAGCCCGTCAAGCTCAGTGGATGGTGACAATAATAGCGAAGACGATGTTCCAATGGAGAGCGAAGCAGACGAGGAAGGGCCTCCGAACGAAGAGATGGAAACCGTGTCTGATGACGAGACTGTCAAAGTCCTCCTAAAATGTGCTGCGGAGTACGTGCTTTGGATTGACCCTGCTTTTACTGATACTTCCTGAATCTCAACTGACGGCCTCCTAGCGTGGACAAAAGACTACTGTAGGCGAACCATGCTTTACAAAAACAGAGGAGACTTGCTAAAATCAACCAGACGTATGACGGAATCGGTAGAAAGCACTCAACAAGACGTGGAGAATTTGAAGGTGGCTATCCGGAACATTGAGGATACACTACAGGGATGGCAAAAGTATTTGGGGATCGGGGATGAAAAAGGGAAAAGCGGTGCTCGCAGCGGTAGCCGCCTTGCACGGGCCAAGCCCCTGGCATAAACGTATGTAATCAAAATATCTTAGGTAATGAACGTATCAAAGAAAACCATGGGCTCTCATGCATTCCCGAGGCTTCCGCAACTCGAGTTCGAAGAAGCTTTCACCATTTTTCTCCACCGCCATACCACTAGGGTGCAGATCGTTGATCCAATCGGGCATTTTATGGAGCACCTTGGACTAGATCCCCCTACTGAGGTTCGAGCTAGACTAGATGTGGTCAGCCCCCCAACGCAGATCAAATGTCAGCTCGGACACATTCAGGAGCCGTCTTGGCCGAAGGTCCGGACCGTTGAAAGTTCCACGGCTCACCGGGGAAGTCGCTGCTCATTTCCGATTTGTTTCTGATCTATCCTGCTCTCCAAGGTTGGTCGGCTGGCCTCTATTTGTTTTCCTTCTCCATCAATACAAGACGTATTTGATTATCTCATTTCCTATTGCGGTGCAGAGGTGAGTAGCTACGTAGATGTAATCTCCCACTTCCCCTTTACTTCCTTCACGGAGAATTTCGCGATCATACCGAACGAGCGCGATCGGCTCTGGATCCAGCAATCGGAAACCAGATTTCGCTCATAACGTGGTCGGAGATGCATGCGAATTTTTTCATTGGCTGTCTGATTAAATTTTTTCCATTCGTCGGAAGTAACCTCCCCCTGAAATAAAATGACTCGGGTTCGAACCCCACTAGATCAACAGTATAAGCCTAAGCTTGGAGTTTTACCGCGGTCCTCCCCGACCCGTCTTGATCAAATTTAGTTATGATAGGTATGATTTTCGGAAGAGTAATCGCTATAGGGGCTAGGCGAGGGACTAAGTGCAGGCGTGGTTGCGGAAGTAGGCTAAGCTCACCTAAGATAATTGTTGTGTTCTTACGTGCAGCTCTTAGCGCGCACTGTACGCGATCTACACGCGATCACCAGCCCACGCGGCTGCTTTACTCGGAGGATCTCAGGATGAAGTGTATAATAAATTATGCTTAGATACTTAGCTAAATAACATTAAAGGACGTCTTTGGCTACAGAACATCATGAAGCCTGCGCACCATGTGGTGCGGTAGTGGACATATTCGGCTGGTTTGGTATAAGCCCATTGCTAAACCACCCTGCCCCCGGCAACGTCATAGGTGCGCTTGGCAGCGTATAGGGGCCCATACCTATAGATGGCGCTATCTGACTCACAGGGTGGTCTTGAAACATATCGGATCCTGGTAAAAACGTGGAATATTGTCTGTTCTCCAGCATAGACTTGTTCTCCGAGACGCCCTAGGCAGTGGCGAGGATATTGGTACGGATTCCGTCGAGGATGGATTGAACCTTAGTCCACGGCACTTGGTCCTGAGAGCGGGCAATTGAAGTCTTATTCTGTTGCTTTAACTGTGCGACCTTATTCTCGAGCTCCCCGCAACGCCTCTCAGTCTGTTCCTTGTCCGCGGTGGCTTGCTGTAGTTCCGTACGCAGCTTCTGTATGGAATTCGAGGCTTTATGCCTCTCTTTGCCGAAGGTCGCATTCAGGTGGCGGGTGTCTTGGTCGGCCTCATCGAGCATATCCAGACAGTTCCGGTATACCTCCTCCCATGAAGGGTCCTCTGTCGGCTCAATCATAGCCTCTTTCTTAGTATTTGAGACGAATGCCTAGGCACAGATTGTCAGCAGTAGTCTAGATAGTAACTGAACAGAAGGCCTACCTATACCTGTGAAGACTTTCGCTTCGGGTTCGTCAATTTCGAAACTCGGCCAGAATCACTGCTCAGCTTCTTTGCTCCTACATCCGTCTTCCCACTACTTCCGGTCTGACCGGGGTTTGTCACACAGCTGACTATGCTATAAGAGCTCTTGAAGTCAGTGAAAGGATAGCGGAGCTGAGCAGGTGTCTTTACTTAACCGCATCAGTGGACAAATCTAGCTTTATATAAGAGGGCGCGTAGCCAGTATGACGCTAGTACAAGTCCAACACGAAGACCCATTGAGTTCAACGCCGTTTATCCCCGTGTGTCAAATCTAAAAGCTAGTGAAGGATCGTTCATGATCCCTGTCAATTAAACTGTTAGTTGACCGATACCAAGCCACGGGCATTTATAAGAAAGACAGGCCCGTATTTCTCTTTTGTTTTTGGTGTTTTTGGTTTTTTGTTTTTTTTTAGAAAAAAAAAAAAAAATACGAGGTATCGTTTTTCGACGAAGATCCCCTCTGCAATCAGCTCCGTTTTGCTCATAACCGGTCGTCAAAATCCTACCAACCAATCTCATTGAGAGGCTTGGGTCCTACGTGTCATGTGACTGTAATTGAGGTATGGGCATACTACTGTGGTCGAACCATGGGAATAACTGCCTTTCTCCCTATAGTAGAGCTTACGGCTTGGTCTAGATATCAAGTACACCGGCCTACTATAAATGGTTCCTACTGCTACTGCTCCCTGAAACGTATTGTACAGGAGTGGTGTAGTAAGGAAAGCTCTTATACTTCCTAACCAAACCAGTAATAGGCTAAGGGTATGGCCACTAAATAGGAGACTACTTAAATTACTTCTTGTGCCTCAAAAACAATGTGTACATACGATTCAGCGAGAACAACTGATCTATAAGTTAATTACTTTAGGGACAATTAATTTAATTTGACTCTAAACTCTACTCCTAGTAGAGAGCAAAGCTTTTTCAGAAGTATTATACGGACCTTTTGGGTGCTTTGATTAGAAGACCTACATAGACTAAAAAACAAACTATTATTCACCTATTGTCGAAACTTATAATGTTTTACCCCTTTCGAGGCGGAATTTATTTATTTTCTGTATATAATAGGCTAGCGCAAATTGGTAATAAATTAATTTACACTGAATTAAACCTATAATTCCTCAGTCTAGTATAAGATTAAGATTAGAGATTGGCCGATAGTTAGATTAGGTCCATTCACCTCTATTAGGAAAGTAAAGCAAAAGAACATTCTACTTGTTCCTTCTTTATATTATAACTATTTCTACACCAACAAGGAAAACCGTTTCTACACAAAATTCCGAATAGCTTGACTAAGTATACCACATCCATATAGTAAAGCAAATTCTCCTGCTTCAAGAAGGTGAAATTTATCTGCTCTCCCGGCCTAGTACAATGGTTCAGCTTCTAATCGTCTTCAATAAAAAAGATTCTATCGATATCCGTAGTTAATAAATAGATTAGCTCTATAGATAGGTCATAACTATTCAGAAAAAAGACTATAACTAATCTTTTTTTTACAAGCCGGTCAAACATTGGAATTTGAACCACTTAACAATTCTAAGAATATAAGCCTGTCTTCTAGGGGATATAAGGACGCCTTACCTTAAGCCAATAAATACTAATAGCAGAGAGATCCTATGACTGACCCTAGCGTTTGCACTATTATACATAGATTACAGCAGGAGAACCATGAGATAACAACTTAGCTTAATATACTTCGAAAACAACAACAGGAGAGCCAGAAAGCACTTGCTATATAGAAAGTATTTATCTCAGGTCTTTTAGGCGATATATATGCTGGCCTGTTGTCTGCCGCCAAGCTGCTTCAGCAGTAGATAAAGAGGCCACTAGGGTATTAAGAGGTCCAGTAGAGTTCATATAACTTATACAGTTATAGATTATAGCTTTAGGTCTGTCCACTTTGTTATATCTTCAAACTTAGACAAAGCTATTTAAACCTAATAAATCAGCTTTTTGAGTACTTTTAGTAGTTTTAATTATACTTAGTACACCCGGTGAAAGCCTATAGCTTTCAAACTACTCCCAAGTGAATCTAGTTTTACGTAGTTATATGATCAACATCGGATTTCCTTTTTTAGTTATAAGTCGGGGGTTGGGGGATTTAGCTACCTTGGTGCTCTTATAAAAACTAAAAACTATAAGAAGACTCAAATGTCCCAGGGTTTAGAAAGCAGGATCTGGCAATCTGTCTTTCTAAAGACTTCCTTTATCCCCTCCTCCTAGTGATACCGGAGGAGTACAAAGTCATCAACCGGGCTCGTTACTTGAATAATTGCACAATAAGGGCTGGTGACCTCTTTAATATCATACTACACTAGTTTCGTCACCTTTCCAATCAGACTACATCGGGCTTATCACCTATATAATTATATAGAGAGGGCTACTACTCCCTTCGGGTTCGTCATCTTATAAAATTGCACAGAGAGGGCTACTACTCCCTTCAGGTTCGTCACCTTATAAAATTATATAGTGAGGGCTAGTGACCTCTTTAATATCACACTACACTAGTCTTATCACCTTTCTAATCAGACTACATTAGGCTCGTTACCTATAAAATTACATAGAGAGGACTACTACTCCCTTCGTATTTGTCACCTTATAAAATTACACAGAGAGGGCTACTACTCCCTTCGGGTTTGTTATCTTATAAAATTGTACAGCGAGGGCTAGTAACCTCTTTAATATCACACTATACTAGTCTCGTTACCTTTCTAATCAGACTACATCAGGCTTATTACCTATACAATTAGACTTATAGGGCTTATCTACCTTATTAATCTCAGATACTTCAGCGATTAGTAGACACCTCTACATAGTACTAAAGACTAGTACCCAAACCTCTCAGTGGGGAAACTAAGGCCTACCAGATAGAGGATTTTAATATGAAATCTACTTAGCTAATAGTTAATACAATAGTATAAATTATACTCCGAGAAATAAATCCTGGATAATGTAAGCGCAAATTAGCTCTATTCGAGTTCAGTTAGTAGCCACAAAAAAAGACCGAATAAGATGGTTAAGTAATAGTCGTATTTGAGCATTAAGAATAGGCTACCACCAATTGAGTCAGTTTCCTAGACTCATTTTTGTATGATATATTTTCTTCATCCTTTGGTACTACACCTGTAAGAAAGTCGATGTCGAATCAGGGAGAGAACTTAGCAATCACCAACTAGTAGTAGATACTTCTAGAAATAGTAAATATAGTAAAGAATACCTTAAGTATACTCCTAGCTATTTTGCCGCTTATCACAAGCTTTCTATTGCTTCTCTTAAACTACTCCAGTAGTAGTTAGGCTCTTATAGTAATCACTATTCTATTATATACTTATACATTACTTATAAAGCTACTAGTATATAGTATATATATCTGCGTATAGATATTAATCCTTTTCCATAAGTTAGTATTTTAATTGCTATAGGACCTTAAGTAAGATTACCCAATTACCCTACAGTACTAGTACAACTCAAATAACCGATCAGTAAACAATTATTACAGGCTTAAATTATATTATTCAAAAATAGCAGTTAACCGTTCTTAAAGGTATAAGAACAATACCTTCCTATTTACTAGTAGGTTTCGCCTCGTACGTACTAGATTTCACAGTATCCACTAGCACAAGCTCTAGATAGGCATCTAAAGAATACTCTTCCCAATCCTTAGACGGTTCTTCACCACACGAAAATAGCAAATAAAAGCTACTCTTATTAATATTAGTCAACGCAGTTAATAACTAAGTAATCCTAAGCGGCCCGCAACTAGACCCACAACTGGACCTACTTAATCAATCGTTTATCATCAGGCTACAAAACTACTCGTGAAACGAGCAACAAACGGGTTTACAAGGTACAAATCCATTCCTATCAGTGAGCAATTATTTTCAAGCTCTAGTGCCAGCCGTCCTAGCCCCATTTACTCAATTCAACGATTTTTGTCTTCTTGCGTCCTCTTCCCCTAGTATTGGTCTTCCTGTCAAGTAAAAGTAAGGCCACTATAGACCGTATCGCCTCAACGTCCTTCGCGAGAGGCAAATTCCGTTAGCAATAACGAAATATAATACGGGAGCCTCAATTCTCTATCAGCCCCGGCAAAATCTGCTTAAATAGAATACAAAGATCTGACCAAAGCTACGAAAAAGATTTGGCCTACAGTACCCCCGCCAAACAAAAAGAGATAGCTTATCACCGGCAAAGAGAGAAGTAAAGAGCTCCTCGCCATTATTATCAACATGGATACAGCAGTGAGTTCACCCTTTAATATCAATACCTCGTGCTCATCAAAAATAGGACGTTCTTCGAATGCTAGCAAGGCTTGATACGAGAACACTTCGAGCCGAACGAGCTCAGGCCAAGCTGGAAGAAAGTCTGGCGACTGCAGAGCAGACGTTGAAGCAAACGACCCTGGAACTAGACCAGGTCGCCCGGCTAGCGGAAATCTTTTACGAAAGTAGTCATAAGCTAGGAAATATGGTGGACCACTTGCTAAAGGAACGCGGGGTGTTGCAGAATGGCCAGCAGCCGGAGTCATTGAAAGCCATATTGGATGTTGTCCAAAAGGAGATAGATGAAAATGCCGAAAAGGGACCCGATAGCAACGATACTAGGAGTGAACCTACACCTCCTAGCGATTCTGCAGATCAGCAGGGGCCAGAGTAAGTAAGTTACTTGAATGTTTTATTTTCTTCACTCCTTCTTTGACGTCGGATATAAATATGAACGACACTGCATATATAATTAAACCTGCATGCCCGATACTTGAACGTACGGACCTCCACAAAAAATTTCAAACATAGATTCCATGGAAGACCCCAAACCTTCTTCTCGAACCCAGGGGCTAGCCTACGCACTAGCACGAGCGCTGGATTCTTGCTTGTCTGGTAACGCAAGAGGCGCGGAAGAGAGCTCTTGGGTTCTCGACTCTGACATTGAGAATGGACGCACGCGACGGTCAAGCGCTCCATCGCTAGAAGACTTTCGAACTCCGCGGACTAGTATTGACGAATCCGGAAATACTCAGATGCTAATCAAGCAAAAATATGATTCTAAGGAAGGCTAAATTGCAATTGTTGTGGAGCAGTTGAATCGTGAGATAAATCGGATAGTGCATAAACCTCCGTTGGGTAGCATCGAATTGTTACTCTTTTGATGCGTCTGACCTTGAAATACCTGTCCCTACATACAACACGAATCCGGAAAATAACCTTGCCTTCGAGCCAACGATATTCGTACTAGCAAAATAAATGTCGCTAATTGGATGATATGGGCAAGGCTACGAATTTACACGTATGAATGGAGCATTGAACATCTCAAGTGGTGCTGTGTTCCTTTTGATAGATTTATCGATATGTCCCTCGAGGCTCGTCTTCAGACTGAAAATACTTATAGAAACATGTCTCTTCCCACGGATTAGCTGACGTTGCAACTTCACAGTTCATGACGTCTGGAAAACTCCATGCTTTCGACCTGGTTATATCCTTGCCCTGATCCAGCTCGAAATTTGGACTGTTTTTTCTTGCTGTACCAAGACACACCAAGAACAACAAAGTGATGCCATACAATCTCCACAGCCTGAACCCTTGATATGAAAATGCTTCCTCATGTTTCTCCTCTGTACCATCAGTGGGACCCATTGAAGTCCACAACAACTCAGCAAGGTGTCAATGTAGGTAATTAATGGACTATTAAAATAGCTACAAAAGATACTACAAATAAATATAATCAACTACGGATTAATTGCAGATAAGATTCGGTGATCAAATTAGTTCTTCCAATATTTCTGAAGGTGGTCTTCGAGGACTTCCTGATTCTCTGCTCTTAAATAGGAGCCATCTGCCAATCTTCGCATCTGAACGTCATCTCCAGGGGTGCTTTTGGTGGCTGGATCGTCTCCGTTTGCGTGGCCATGGTAACAATACCGGCGGGCGTGGGGGAGGATGAGCCACCGCAGGATTTTAGCGAAAATACACTGAAATGACCTTTGCGAAGTTAAAAATTCCATTCCCACGCAACGTCAACGATGGCGGCGATCTCCAACTGGCGGAGAGTGTATCTGAGAGATGGGGTATCTGAGGCTGCACTTCGCATATCTGACTCAGCAGCACGGGATCCGCAAACAGGGCGTAATTTGTGTAGATCTGTATGTACAGGTTGGTGGAGTGGGAATGGGACCCAGCTTACTGCTGCGGAAAAGGAAGAGTTAAATCCTCATCTTTATGGGTATTTTTGATTTATGTAGTCGCCCTTAGATGCATTTCATTGATTCTCATCTTAGTACAGATCAGAAAGAAAAGGAACCATATCAGCCATTCATAGCAGCAGTAGCTAAGAAGGCATATTCCTATAAAGTTTCTATCGATTCCGAAGAAAGCTGTACGCATTAGTACGGAGATAGACCAAACGGGATCATTAAACAGTACTTGAGATGTGTTATTCTAAATACAGGATGATTTGCAAAATAAGGGGGTTGAGTGTGCTGATTCAGCAGTTTATGCCTAAGGAATGAAAAATGATGACGCTAGTAAAATAGACCTCCACTTTTCCGACAGTTTCCCTTAACGGTTATGTAATCGACTACACGTCATGGAAAGCTACTATGTCCGGCACCCTTCGATAGTCTTCGATCAACGCCCCTAGATGCCACTTATATCATGGCCATGGGCTATGGAGGGAGTGATTCAATTATTATCACTACCGCAATCTTTTTGAATATCTCGCTGGTCGCTGTCTCTCTTCGGTGTTTCGTTCGATTGAAAATAGTCAAGGCATTTGGGTATGATGATGCTTTGATGGTTGCAGCGATTGTAGGTTATAAAAGGGAATCTGGGCATTATCACTCTTATGTTTTCTAATAATAGTACAGATATTTAATATCGGATTTGCCACCTGTGGGATTGTGGGTGCCGTATATGGCATGGGGAAGACTCCAGCCTATCTAGCTCAGCACCGAGAGGACATACGACGTGGTTTGTTGGTAAGTGATTGCAGCTGTTCAAAGTTGAGATTCACTATTTACCTGGTGTCGTACGACAAGTTTTGGTGGTTAGGGCAGATCCTTTACGCATTTACAGTCACAATCGCCAGGATATCTATTGCCTTGACTATAATTCGACTTACGATTGGTCGTACTCACTTGGCTATTCTGTACGGAGTAATCATATTCTCAACTGCGGTCGGGACTGTTTTTCTATTCTTCTCCGTTTTCCAATGCCGTCCAGTTCCATACTATTGGAATCATTATCCGGAAACTGGGCATTGTCTCGACATCAACATCCTCCTCGGCATCGTGTATATGTACAGCGGAGTGACCGTCACATGCGATTTCATTCTTACAATTTTTCCCATATACTTAATCTGGAGGCTCCAAATGGATCGCCGAGCCAAGGTTGCTGTATCGGGGATATTAAGTATAGCCGGAATGTTCGTCTCATCTGCCTTTTCACAATCCAATTATTGACTTGACACACTTGTCAGAGCGAGTGCTGCCGTCATCGTGCGCATACCCTTTCTTCATTATGCGAAGGAACTGGACTTTCTTTGTAAGTGAAAAATGCCTCTTTTGGCTTCTGTTATTGAATGAAGGTACCAGATGCAACAACACAAATTTCAATATGGTCCAATGTCGAGGCCAGCCTAGGAGTTACTGCTGGGAGCCTTGTAACAATACGTCCGTTATTTCGAGTATTTGCAGGTCATACTTCTCTTAGTTGATCAATGTACTCCCAGATGCGAGACTTACTGTGGGAAAATTGCCGGTTCTACTGTCAGGCTGAAGTATGTGATTTCTCGGCTGGGATCCTCCATTCGGGAAGACGATCTCAAATTACAGTCCTAAAGGTTATGTGGATGAAACATGGGCTCTGGTTGAGTTCACGCAACGTCTCATCAGGTATACCATGAAAGTTATGTTCCGAGCTCTAAATTTCTCCCACTTAGTGTAATCGCTTTGGATGCTTTGACAGAATATGAGTTTGGCACGTCTGTACTTTTTGCCAAAAGCGCTCAATACTATTGGACTATAACTCAAAAATGGCGTACTATTGCTCATAACGATATTCACTCACTCATCAGGCTTGCCATAGTTCAAATGAATTTCTCGTACAGAATGCATCTAGGCTGCACTTTTGAGGGCGAATTGCGCTGGTGGCGGTAGGAAGAATCAACAAACCACGCGGAGTTGCACTGATCGCGACACAAATTGAGAGATGAAATATTTATTGCTTCCCTTCAGAAAGAATCATCCTTTGTGCTCAAATGACATTTACAAGATCTCTCTCCAATCGATACTCAACCAATCTTTTGATTACGATCAACCTTCAGACTATCCCGCTGACCCTCGCGGTAAGCATCACCATCTCGAATGGCTGCGGGTTTCCTGCGCTTAGAACGGCCTAGCTTGATACCTTGCTCGGCCAAATAATCAGTCGCAACCTGATCTGCTGTTTGCTGGAACTGAACAAGCTGCATGCTTGATTCCCACGGAGAGACATCAATGATAGACTGGGCATCAATCTCCAATTTCACGGGAACCTCTGGGGCAGCGCTGAGGTCTGGCTCTGTATCTGGCTCCTCCTTGAACTCCGGAATGTCGTCGAGATTAATAATCTCTGAATCTCGTTTCGTCAGTTTGTTGATGATTTCATCGTCATCGTCACATAAATCAATGACTTCAATATCTTTGGCACTAAAGTCCATCTGGAGGCCAAATTCGAGCTCAAACCCATCGTTCATGTCAAATTCACCATCAGAGCAGTTATCTACATCTTCCATTGACTCGTCTTCTTGGCAGAAGGGAGAGAGTCTGTCGGCCGAAGATGTGGACGGAGTAGGCATGAGAGATGGCGAAGGTTGACGAGGCTGTTCAACTTCTCCAATTTTCACAACAAAGTTCTCCAGTTCTTTGCGCTTTGCTGCTTGTAGCTCCTTGTTTTTCTCTCGGTTCGCCATAGCCACAAGGCCATCTGCGATGCCGAGACGATAACTGGTTGATGGCGAACCTCCTTTGTACTCACAAGCCCAGATCGAGATCTGATTATGGGTCATCTCGAATGCCCTTGCAGCAGCGACAGTATTCTGGGAAATACCATAGAAGGTCCATTCAATACGGCCAGAGAAATCAGCAGTATAGAGCTTACAATCGAAGAAGGTACACATGGCATGAAAATTTTGATCTTAGGTGCGCATTTGTAGAGTTCCTGGGACATCGCAAAAAGGCTAACCCCTCCCTATCGAAACCAATTTCTTATCTTTTATCTTGATTGGGAGATATTGGGGGGGTTTTTTTTTTCAGTCGTGTTTCTTTATCCTAAGATTTGGCTCATCAATATTGACGTACCTGGGGCCGAGAATTTCATTCGGAGCACTTGCCCTGACAATGATCACTGAGGTATGTACATGAGCTATTGACATTTTTGCAAGCTACTGTAATAGACCAAAATACAGGTCAAGGCAATACTACGTGTGCCTTCGCCTCTCTCATTTTGCTTCCAAACTCAATTTCTTACTTCGCTTGAGTGGTCTGTAACTAAATTCCTCACTGACGGGCATTAGGTTCCTTTTGGAAAATTTCAGAACGCTTCTTTGCATGGACGCGATCGAAGTAAGATTTATTCTGATTTCTTTCAACTTTTTCTTTGAATTTCCCAAGGTAAACTTGTTACTATTTGGTTCCGCTAGGTGACGAAAGGTATTCTATGTAGCAAGGGTAGAGCACAATGAACTCAATTGTCGAAAAAGATCCATAATTCCCCCTAATTTTGTTTCGTACATCTCAAAAACTTGAACATCACTTTTATTTGGATTAATCTCATAATAGAATCTCGCTTATATAAAACTGAGAAGTGAAGCTAGGTTCTGGTATTACGGTATTACATAGAATGTCGAACATGCGAACAGACCTAATCAAAGGGGAATCAACCTTATACATTTACCTTGAATATGCGGAGGATTTTGGGTATGAAAATGTAGCCAAACTTTTGAGAGAAAAATGGTCCCATTCACAAAATATGTGACATATGTATATTATCTATACATGTAGTAGTTTGGACAGTATTAAATTCATCCATCCTATGTAATACTATATACGCTTCCTTAGGATTGAGTTGGCCGACGATTATTTGTTTTATTTTGAGGTTCTGGCTTTATCCTTAAGTCGCTTAGGGCCAGCCCGTCGGGAATTTTATCCTGATTATTAGAGGCTCAAAGTACCGGAAATGAACTGGTTAACTCTGTGCTATTTTGCTAATAAGCAAAGTATTGCCCGAAAATTATTGGCTATATCTAATAGTGTAGTTTAATTTTAATAGTTCTAGATACTTCTTTATCTTTAGTGCTATTATCTAAGACTAGATGTTGAGAAATCTTAGCTGATATAGCCTGGTTGTTAGGAATCTACTCAACAATATTATTATTAATCTATATTTTTAGATCGTTTTCTTTAACTTAGAATAGCTTGACTTTAAGATCTAGACTAAAATTTTGCTTTTGTGAAATTTTTATCTTTAAGTTTTATATAGTGCGTTCTATTAAAAATAATATAGTATAGAAATTATCTAGTCTCTCTTTATTATTCTAAAAGCAGATATAGAAATATATTATTAGTTTCTTAGTGAGAAGTAGCTTAAGTATTAGGATAGAGAAACTTATATTTATCTCTAGATTCTAACTTCTTATCTATATCTTTATTTTTTGTAGGAACTAAGTGATCTGTAGGGATCTTTTATTTTGTAAATATATATTTAGAGGGAATATTGCTTCTAGTAGGGCTTTTATCCTTAACTAATAAGATATTATATATAGTAATCTTCCCTATAGATTTAGGTATATAGTGATTTGTTAGACTTTGTGTTAGATCCCTAGATCTATTGTCTAATATAGAGGATAATATTAAATTATTAAGAGCTGGTTAGGGTATAGAGGGTAGAACCTATATTCCTTTATCTAATAGTTTAATTAGGAATAAATCAGGGTTATTCTTAATATTGTTAGGTAGATAGAATTTATTAATAGAACGATTAGATAAGAATACCCTATGTATTTCTACTAACTCTGTATCTAAATTGTTTTGTAGGTATGCTATTTATTTATCTTTAGTATCTATATTATTTATATTAATAATAGACTAATTGCTATATTTTTGCTTACTAAGATTCTTATCTCTACTTAAAGCTTTAAGATAGTCTATCTTATGTCTCTTAATTACTCTTTTAAGTTAAGAAATATTAGTAAATATTTTGCGTTCTACCCTGTGGTTGCGGAATATTTTTATTTTATAGTAATTGAGCTTAGGGATACCTAGAGTAATAGTTTTTGTTTTAGTAAAAAGTCTTAGAGGAGATCTTTTAACTCCTTTAGAATAGTTGAAATCTATTAAGAGAAAGTTGAATCGGATCCTAAGTGTATAAGTTGATATACTTAATATATTTATAAATTATTTAATAGTAAACTTATCTAGGGAAGCTTTTTCTATATAGAAGTTATAGGATTAACCTTTATACTAATCTAGATTAATAAGCTTTACTATATTTAAATTATGGCTTTTATATAATATATTATATATCGAGCTAGCCTTCTAGAGGCTCTAATAAGAGTTGGGATTTAATATATACTTTATTATATTAAAGGTAATATGAATTAAGGTTTGGTAATGTATTAGTCTGGTCTACGCTAGAAGGAACTTTGAATTAATAATAGATAAGGAGTATATTTAATCCTTATTTAAGTAAGTTATAGGAATATTATTAGGATTTTGGATTATTACAGTTAGTATATTAAATAAGACTTAATATTGGAAACTATAAGCTTATGAATTAGAGGTTTTATAATATAAAAATCTAATATAAGAGTATACTTAGTATTGTTACTAACTATTAATTTCTTAACTTCTAGGAAGCTCTTCCTATCTATAACCCTAGATATAGTCTATATATTAAGAGCTAGATTTCCGATAGATAATTCCCTACTAGATCTATTATATATACTATCTACTCTATTAGGCTAAACGAGAGTATTAGGTTAGTATATAGATAGTGGGCTTCTATAAGAGATATCTTAAGCTATTAGTATAAGATATTATAGATTGAATAGATCAGTGGCTTTTAGAAACTTATTTTTATATAATAGAGTAACTATACTTATGTACTGATCTAGAAATATCTTAGGTATTAATAGCTTAGATTATAGGGTTAGAGTATATAAATCTCTAGTTAAGTTATAGAGCCCTATATTAAAGGTATTTAAACTTTTATTATAGTTTTAATTTATACTTAAATAGGGAAGAGACTAGTTATTTAGAAAGGAGGTAAAATAGAGTTTGGGTGTTACTTAAATAGTATTATATTGTAAGTCTTTAGGATTAATAGGTCTATATAGCTATAGTAGGGGAGATATTAGTCTATAGCTATAACTAAAATTTACGATAGATAGTAGATATAAAGTAATAAAAGTTAAGACTAAGAATAGAATAAAGGATATATACACCAATCAGGTATATTTAATTTAGAGGTACTTTTTATAATATTAGAGAAATTTACTTAGAATTTTTTGATTAACCCTATATCTAGTTTCCGGTTATTGTTTCTAGGTAGAAGCAGTATAGTTAGAATACTTAGTCAGTCGTATCTAGTGTAAGTAATAAGAATACCTATTGTTAAATATAATACCACGCTGGTGACCTTGTATAGTATATCGAAGATAGCTAAAGGTATAGTCCGGAAAAAGTAAGCGCGGAGCTCTTAAGTCGTGAGCCGAGAAAGTTATAAGGGGCACGAACGGTTAGCCGCTCGGTTTAGATAGCCTTTCTTAATCGGAGATTTTGATTATGTAGTGGGGAGGTACGACCAGCCAATCAGATATACGGACATACAGCGATGTTAGAGCGGTGAATATTCTGCTGTCTACATTTGTATTGTCGGCTTGTATATATCACTGCTCGCCGTAGATAGCTTCAATATTTCATTACTATAGCCCGCAGTTTATATCTATTTCTACCGCACTTAATAACTACCACAAGGATAATAAACGCCCTTAGGACCACTGGCATGCTGACCGGGCTTACGTTCTAGATGGGCGATGATAAGTAGATACAAAGCCTAGCGGGTACTATATCGACCATCGACGTATAATAGGTTTCCTAGATCGGCTGGGTATATGAGGACCTGTACAATAGCACGTAGGTTATTCCTACCCTAAGCTAGTAAAACATTATAGCCCAACACATCTCCTGGAGGCAGCTGTTGGTTTCCTGGGCTCAGATGTGGTATTCCGAGTTAGAACAATGACGCCGCTCACGTTTTGAGGGTAGGGTAGAGATAAACGGCCCCGGTGGAGAAGTTGAATGCCGAGTCCAGAATAAATCACCCTCAAAAGATAAAAGGGCATCAATTTTGAAGCATTCAGCAGCGCGGTCTATGGCCACCACAAGGATTTTGACCGACTTTTTCTGCGCTTGATAGAAGCATAGAACAAGTATAAGCTTAGAGTAAATGCATTGCAATGTTCCCAAGGGCCTCATAATTTCCGTGTGAGCTCCTGAGACATTCTATTGCTCCAAGGTGTTCAATCTCAACCATGCTATTTGAAAGGGTGCCTTGGCGCTATTTCTTAGCTGAGATGATATTGTAAGGTGACTTACTTTGGCCCCACGTATGGAATGCGCGTATAGCCTGAAGGATGAACATTTCGCGTCTAGGTGGCCGAAATTTCGTATCAGGCCTACGCTGCTTGTTGAAAAGCCACTGTAAGGGAGTCTGACGATTGAGGTCCATAGCGGCCTTGGCACAAGTGGATGCGTTGGCCTGATGTTTGAAAGCTGTGGTGGGATGGTTGTAGCCTTCGGCACCAAGCCTTACAGCATGTGCTTTGGGGCCGAATCCTTCTGGCTGTAGACCTAGGTCCACAGCTCGAGGTCTACCAAGGACACAGGGAGCCGACAGTAGGAAAGCTACGGCTTATTGTTTGTTACATTGAACCCTTCAAATGAGAATAACGAGTCGCTCGGAGCAGACCCGGTCTGTAAGTACAATGGAATTTCAGATCAATTGTGCGGTAAAGGGCCCGATCTATGGATGAGTTCCTTTTGTTATGTATAGTATATAGAGAGCCAACACAAAGGTCAATGTGATTAGGTAGCCACGAGTGATGTCGTTATTGTAGTAGAATAAGGTTATGCGAAGCAATAGAATGCTAGGCTATTTAGGTATCAAGGGACGAGCCAACGCCGAGCTTAGTTGGAGCTATCAGGTGTGATACGATCAATCAAAGGGTCTGATCGAAGCTTTTGGAGGACTGATTCTGTTATACAGGCTCTGGAACGCAAATTAGGGTAATATCCAACGAAACGTTTTAGTAGACAGAACACATACGTGAATCCTCTAGCGATCATGTCTGGAAACCTGTTGAGTTGAGCACCCGTACTTGATTGGTGGTTGACAGATAGCCCCTTGGGGCCGCTTTTCCCTGCCGACAAAATTCGAAAACACAACTTTTTGTACGAGGAAACCTCGACCCCGTGACTGATTCATGATGGCTTATAGAATCATGCGCTGTAGTTCTGCGGAATTTGATGTATTTTGGCGCATCTTGACATTTCCTCCCTATTACATGAACCTTATTGATCAAAAAATCACGATGTCATGACAGTGGGCCTTGGAGTCTCCTCCATGAACAAGGAGTTAATCAAGGCAATGAGACGCGTCAGTGCGGTTGCATCTTTAGTGTGGTCAAGCTCCTTCCGTCTGCCTAGCTATATGCAGTTAGTATCTAGAAAATTGGTTTCGGGGAAATCACAGGATGATCCCCGCCGCCGCAAGCTTACTTTTTGGTTCACCTCTCAGACCCTCAAATTGCTGGGTTGGGCTTTTTGAGAATGATTTCTTTGCCACTGTGCCTCAGGCGATCAGGAACGGGATCTGCGCCGTTTGAGATCCACCATGATGGCTCGATGGGTGCGGGTGAGCACACTTCTTTATCGCGTAGGTCAATGACGCCAACTGGCATATGGCTATATTCGTATACGGCGCCATAAATGGTCATCGCAATCGGAGAGGGGAACCCTGTCAAAAGATTTGCGCAGTCACTGCGCCAAATGATTGAGGGGGCAGCTATCTCATAACAAGAAAGATCATTGGTTGTCAGTTCGTGCCGTCCCAGATTGGACCCGTGGCTCGTGGAAGAAACCCAATCCATTCATGAAACTAGCATAGAGGAAATCCGAGGCTGCACATGAAGATTATTGTCCCTGGCTCGAGTTGCCGTGAGAACGACTAAGAACCAGAAGTCAGCGAAGGCTCTGATGATATAGTTATGATAGCCTTACCTTACTCACAATGTACAAGTATTCTGTCCATTGTGGGACTCAACTCACTGTAAGCTAAGCCCTTGGAAACAAAGCACCGCTTTGTTATTCGCCAGTGGATATCGGCCGGGGTGGGGTGGAGACGCATCTGCCGGGTGGTTAGGACCCTCTGTCCGATATTTGTGGGCAAGACAACGCTGCCATTGATGTTCTCTACAACAAGAAATTCTGGCGAAGAACAGGGTATTTATATACATGGGACCTTGATGTATCTTCAACTGTCTTCACGTTTAGCAGGCACTGGCGGAATGTGAATCACATTACAGAGGTTCCTTCCACTGATTAAAGCGACTGTGGTAGAAGACAGTTGGTCTATGCCAGCAACTCTATATGCCCTGTATTTTATATTTTATGCGGCCATCAGTTTTCTTCCATAACTACGAAGAAGAATCTTATCCCGCAACAGATTGGACGCCAGGTAAAAAAAGCTGGTGGATCGACTGGGCCTTGTCTACCTCACAAAGTTGAGCCACTGTGAAGAGCCGTTTCGCATAAGTCATATACATCCATTTTGTTTTAGAGTTGATTCTCATTGCCTTTTCCTTGATTACAGTACCTCCTACAATCCAAAAATAAGTCCCTAGACCTACGCTACCGCATAAGCGGTTGTTCGGAAGAACAGCATCTACGACTCGGCGATGCGTTCAATTTGACTCCAGAGAAGGGACATCCGCTTTAGCAACCGCCACATCGGGCTTCCGATAATCTGCCTTCATTTGCGAGTGCTGATCTTATCTTCAGATATGGACCCGATGGCCAAAGCGGTTTCTCAGTTGGTTAGGACCCTGGGATCCGGTTGTCCAACGGGCCCGCAAAATTTGACTGCAATTTCATAATGCCCTTTGTCTATGCGATGGGCGTAAAAACGCTGCACCATGCATGGCCCAGCAGGTTCGAGGCGCTGTTGGCCATTGGAATTCGGTTGTCTCGTTTTTACGTCCTTCTAATCGACTGTTACTTCGCCTGGCCGTCAGAGCAGTCAAGCTATAAGAACGAGAAATCCTGCATTCACTGGTAGGCAAATTTCCCTCCAAATCATGTTTTCAGGAAACGGAGGCCATAAACGACCTTGTACGGTGTGGGTGGATGACAATCCGTGGGACAGATCGCTAGGCTTATCGTGCCCATCCACGCTGAGACCCGCGTCCGATGCATGCGACACCAATGCTGCCCCTGCCGCTACGATCCCCGATCCTTCCACGCAAGCACATCTCGAACCAACGAAGCTTTCGTTGGAAATGCTTGTAACCGTGGTCAACAAGACTGCTTTTCACAGAATCGAGTCTTTCTCTGCTCGTTCGTAAACAAAGAATCTGGTAGTCCAATATGACACGAGTTGTGGAGTCCCTCAATAGGTTGGCGGGAATCCTCACTCACCAACTCAACATGATCGCCCTGGCTCGAAAGAGATGCCTGGGCGTGGCTTCAATTTATCTCGGGATTTGGGATCTAATGAAGGGTCTGATCGCGGGTCTTTATTGCTAGGGGAAATTGAGTCGAAATATTCTGCATCTAAAACCCGGTGTCATGTTCGCAGATGGTGACATTCGTAGTAATCTGAGAAATATATCTCTGACTGCCCTGGTTTTGCCACGGCATTTTCTGTAAAGATGCCAAAAATAAGGATCTTCATTAAGCCCGTTAATTAGGACATTCGACTTACAGTAGCTTGCAAAATCGCCTTGCGTTTTGCTTTCACTCTTTCTTTGTCAATCTCCACTGCCAAGATTCCCCTAACCGTATACGGTTAGTATACTATCTATTTCTGTATCGATATATTACATGGTATTGAAACAGGCCGTCACGTTGTTTGTTTCAGGGTTACTCAAATCACTACTGTTGTATTATTTAATGTGTGTGCTGACACAAGGTATAGATAACAACAAGATAATGCTGTTTGACGAGAACTTGAACAGCAAAGTTGTTCAGGGAAGAGCTTTGGTCGACTGGTTTGCGCCTTGAAGCGCACGCTGAGACGCTAGTCGATCAGGATGTTCTTCATCAAGTGTTCTCTCTTCCACCTTGACCATGTGCTCAAGTAGCTCTACAGCCTGCTTGATCTGCCCGTTGGATTGATACGCCCGTGCGAGTTCGTGCTGAGACGCTAGTCGCGCGGGATGTTCTTCATCAAGTGTTCTCTCTTGCACCACAACCACATACTCAAGTAGCTCCACGGCCTGCTTGATCTGCCCATTGGATTGATATACCCGTGCGAGTTCGTGCTGAGATGCCAGTCGATCAGGATGTTCTTCATCGAGAGTTCTCTCTCGTATCTCGACTACATGCTCAAGTAGCTCTACTACTTGCTTGATCTGCCCGTTGGATTGATACGCCCGTGCGAGTTCGTGCTGAGACGCTAGTCGCGCGGGATGTTCTTCATCAAGTGTTCTCTCTTGCACCACAACCACATACTCAAGTAGCTCCACGGCCTGCTTGATCTGCCCATTGGATTGATATACCCGTGCGAGTTCGTGCTGAGATGCCAGTCGATCAGGATGTTCTTTATCGAGCGTTCTCTCTCGTACGTCAACTACATGCTCAAGTAGCTCCACTGCTTGCTTAAACTGCCCGTTAGATTGGTATGCCCGTGCGAGTTCGTGCTGAGATGCCAGTCGATCACATTGTTCTTCATCATAGTGGCTTTCATTCCATGCACACACATTTCCCAAAATAGTAACTGCTTCTTTCGCTCGGCCGTCGGCTAGAATGCATTTCCCAACTTTGGAAAGTAAGGTATACCTCTCACCCATATCTTGACTTTCCTCTCTTCTGAGAATTTCAAGAGCATGTGGTAAGTATATTCTCCATGTGTCACGATTTGTGTATTCATCAGATGGAAAACGCTTGTCCATATATTGCGTTAAGATCGCGATAATCTGTTTTGTCTTTCGTGCGTCTGTTATCCACATTCGGGTTGATAGCTGTACCAGGCTATGTACATCAAACATATTTTCATTATCCCTCCTGGTGAGAAATCCATAGCTACACAGTGTACCAATTGAAAACTCCATCTCCTCTTCTGAATCAAGGGTGGGGAGAATCGATCGCGGGATTCCCTTTGGCTCAAGGTAAGCTATAAATCCTAATAAATCAGCAGCAGATGGATCAGAGAACTGAATCTGATTAAAGGAGATAAGCCATGTGGTGGCCACCGCGTTTGCCAGTCTACGATAGCGAGTGCTATCGTGGAACTCCCTGCTCGCTAGACGCATCCGATCTTTTTCGGTTTTATGCATAAGCTGAAGATATTGTGTGGCTGTTCCACTATTTCGACAAATGTAGTAAGCTGCCTGTACAATAGCTAGGGGTAGGAAGTTTAGCTCCTCTAATAATTGTATAGTGGAGTTATGGTCACAAAGCGAGTCTTCTCCTACAATCTTAGTAAGAAAAGCAATCCCTTCCTCCGTTGTCATCTTTTGGAGCTCAACTATGTCCCTTCCTGCGAATGACAGTGCCACCTCGCGGGAACGAGTAGTGAGCAAAGTGACGCCGTTGTTACTAGCAGGGAAGTACTGATCAAGCTTATCGAAAAGCAAGTCCACGTCATCGGCATTATCGACAATGAAAAGCCACCTTCCAGCTTTATTAGAGTTTAGCTGTCGCTGTACTGATTCCATCGCACTTTCACCGTCTGCATTCTGAGGGATTTGCAGCTCTTTCGCGATTTGCGAACAAGCCTGCTCAAAACTCTCGAGACTCAGGGCAGGAGCCCAGAAAATTGAGCAGTCTGGTATATGCTCCCTCACCCAGCGGGCAAGCTGAAGAGTAACTTGGGTTTTGCCGATGCCACCTAGTCCAAATAGCGCTAGTTTTTTCGTATTCGGTTCCAGAAATAGCTTCTCCTTAAGCTCATCCAGCGTGGATTCACGACCAGTAAAGTGTCGATTTTCCAAAGGCGGAATGACATAGCGGACTGCAAACTGATCATCTTGGAGAGTATTAGGGTATCTAATATCGTACTTGGGGCTTCTATTGACCTACGAGGCTGATTTTCTGTCTCGTTCATTCCTGTAATAGGCGCGTGGAAGTGGTAAGTGACAGGGCCGTGGCTCACGCCTATTTGGGCCCCCAAATTTGAACTCCCAAAAGATATTGCGGACGTCATGCTCGCTACGTGGATCGGCTTTCAATTCTTCAATGGGCATATGGAAAAGCAATGTCTGGCATAAGCTGCCGCTGCCGCCGCCACGAATGCAAGAATGAATGGGCAGGAATAGAAGTATATCGCTTGGCTTCATAAGTGTCCGTAGCCTGTAGACTCGGCCATTCAACAGAATCAGGGACGGGGAGGGGTAACGATGGATGAATGCGGCCGCAGAGACACCTTGCCATCAGCCTAAGGCATGAGGAGTGATGGGGTGTATGGCCTAAGCACCGGCCCGCATCAACGAATGAGCTAGGTCTAACCCATTACGGTTAGTGTGGCCTTGGCAACTGCATTTAGAAAACAAAGAAAGTGTAAAAGCGAAAGGCGATTTTGCAAGCTACTGTATTCGCTAAGAAGATTAGTGATAGTTGCCCTTTCGGCTCAGCCGCCGGGCGTTAATGAATTGTTTGTTTGTTTGTATTCGCTAAGCCTAGTAGATACATCTTAGAAATCCTAACATATACATATTCAAGCAATTAAGAGGACATACACTTATATACATGTACATATTCATATTGTGACAAAGGCTGGTACCGACCCACAAGCTCCACACCCTCATTGGACGCGACTTCTATATCCGCAAAGCCGCCGCGCTCAACAAAGCAAACAGACAAACAAACAAACTGTCGGAACAGCAGCAATGGATCTCGGAAGAAGGAAATACTATAGATCCGAAGTATTAGTCATTATTTTTGCCCACCTAAATTGCTACGGGCTTGCTATACACAAATCAGACACGTTGACATTCTATTGGTGCATCCATGTTCTCCACTCAGTAATTCCGACACAAACAGCCTCGTCATCGCTGACCAACGGGTTGTTGTGCAGCCGCGTAAACGTCCGACTCAGACAAGTTACCCTACCGCGATGTAATTTCTGGTCGCGTAAAAGCCAAGGCTAACGGTTCATGTGCCTGTCTTGCTTCATAATAACTCTACGGCCTCTGTTACTCCCAACGTAAGATCTCCTGGCTCGGTATTTCCTTTAGATGTAACGCCCGTATCCTATCGATAATATACCTGTAATAGCTCCATGGTTGTGGCAATGCACTTCCTTACTCAGGCTAAATCACTCTCTAACTGCGCAACCCAGGACACAGCAGTAGTGATCTCCTTTTAAAGCTTGTCGATCCTGACTTGTAAGCTAACTTTTTCACTATAATACTCCTCTAGATCAGCGCGAGCGCAATCCAGGTCAAGGTAAAGATTATACTTAGCGCTTTCCAGATCATAAATCTTTGCCGTAAAGGAACCGCTATCTCTAGAGCCCTTGGGTGTCTGCTGGCCCTATAAGCACTTTTAAAACCCTAATAACCGATAAGTAAGTAATTAAGACCTACCGGTGAGAGATTATACAGATCCGGCTGAACTTCCTACGGCAGCAAGACGGCTTCGAGCGAACGCCCAATTTCCTTGTAGATTATCTAATAAAACTGTATATTACCGTTACTTAGACTTGTATCCAATAAGTAAGCTTTCTCTGGTGTTATGGACTAGGTATATCTATCTTCGGGCTGTGGCTTCAGGCGAATCTCACCGGGGGCGATAATAAGGCCTAATTACTTATCTAGAAACGTTAGGACCGAAATTGTATTAGATAGAATTGAATTAATGAACCGATATGGGCTGTAAGGGCCTCCCGGTATTGTTTTCGCAATAGGGTATGTTTGTTATTACTTATTTGAGGTATGATTGTGTTATATACGAACTTTATAAGTAGATTTGAGCTAGAAGGCCATTCTTTATAAAAGATATGCTCTACCTTTAGAAATTATAGCGGAATATCTTAACTATTCTCTATAGGTTAGAGGACCTGTTGAATAACTGTATATCTGCTAGATAGATCTAAACCTATATGAAGTGGGATTGGATGGTATATCGACGTTTATTAGCTTTTTATTCTTGGTGAATGCTTTTGACCACCGTTTAAATATCTGTTATATATATAAAATAACTCGTAAAGTATTGTTCTCTGACTAGGATAGTGAATTAATAGTCAAGTAGACAAAGAGCAGGGTCTGCCGACAGTACCTCTAGAATCGCTAGACTTCCTAAACAAATTCAGGTTCGAGCAGGAAAATATTATCGCATTCAATAGTAACTACCGCTATTACATAATATTTCACAGTTGCCATTCAGAGGAAGACTCTTCTTCCACAATATCCTTATATATCGCTAGCAAGAATAATTAATAGCGAATGATTGCAGCCTTCATTATAATCGCGGTACAAATACTTCTGTTTGTATACGGGGATTGATCCATGACTCTAAGTTTCTTAAATCTATAAAATGGCTTATCCTTACTGCAGATCAGGCTGCCGAAGTGCGTAAGCTGCATCTGATACGATACTGTTACTAGCTGATGTCTCCAAGCCCTGCCGGTCTCGTAAGAGCCAACCTACTAACCGCCTCTCTACGAACAAGTAGCCGGGCGAGTATCAGAAGCCTATCCTGCAACTCCATTTCCGCTAAGAGTATTACTCTCTTAAAGGCTAAACACCATTGCGTACGAAGGAAGGCATCGGGAAATCTCAACGAGCGTGGGTCACACTTGAACAAGAAATTGTGCGAAAGAACTGGATGCGGCGACTACGTCCTATGGCGCACCGATGGTAATACTGGGAGCTAGGGCAATAGTGATTTAACTAGGGATCACTACTAGCACAACAGCATTAAGACAGAGGTCTTTCTCGATAGACTAAGAGATAGTATTGAATAACTTCTTTATTATGTACCAAGATCAGATTTTCCGACGTAGATTTCCAACGATACTCGTAGGAGCCCAACTCGATCGCAGTAAGGTAAAATATAGCATTTAGACTTCCAATATTTCAGCGTGAGAGCAAAGATTTCATTCAAACATAGGCTCATTCAGTACTGATGTAAACTCATATTCATGATTAAGGGCCTTTATAGTAGCATCTTTGAACGCTACGATATAAAAGATAGAATGCAAAAAACTGGTTATTATATTGCGGTAGGCTCTTATCGTTTGTTATAGTACTAAGTACTAGCAAACCCACAAGAATAGCAGGAAACAAATTAATCACTCAACTAGGGCCTTGTAGACCATCCAACAACCGCTGTCGACCGTAAATTCTCTTTTCTTAGCGGTATTTTTCGAAGCAACAGATGAAGGACCGAATGAATTAAGGCGTCTCTTACTGTAGACCTCTATGGTACTCTAGTTTGTTGTAATAATCTCCTCAGTTAGGAGAAGTACAATATAATTAACTCTTGGGCTAAGAAAAGTATAAGACTTTAGTAGTCCTCTAGAAGACACTTGTATCATTACAATCATTGATCATCATGGACGAACAGATAAAGCCAGTCTCACTATTGTAAGAATCTTCTACAGCAATACTGGTACCTGACGAGACTGAGCCGGCGTACAGTTCACCCTTATAGATAGTAAGTCTCCTACTTGATCACAGGATGCCGCTAATGTATTATTAGATTATTGATGAAGGGGATGTTTTGACTGTGGACCCCTTTAGACCAATTTTAGAGATACTAGAGCAACTCGAATGAGCCGATCCCAAGCTCGCTTCTTAGAAGGTATGTCTATTAGGACTTTTTCGACGAGTATAGGAGTCCGGCTTATCAAAGTATATGGAGACCGTATGACTTGAAAGTGCGAACCAGGTACTTCGGGCCGAAAATACTGAGCTTCACAACGAAGGGAACTATCTCAGCCGTCGCCAGAACGACTAGGTAGCTCATCTACATGTATTCGAATAAGGGCTTAAGAGAACTTGCTATAGCCTTCTGAGCGTACTCGAAGAGTGGAACATTTACTCGGCAGTAGAGCTGAGCGGTTTGACCGATGGGGTTTCGAAGCACCGTTAGGGAGCGCAAAGACATTTCGCATTCGTTAAGGGGGCTGGAAATGGGCAGGAGTGTGGTATGACTGTGAAATATGGACCATATCTTCCCCTGTCCAGTGTTCAATACGAATATCAATCTACTTTTCTCCCTGGATCTTTCTATGAACTAGCAATCGATATACACCGAAAAAGCAGGCCAGTACTTGAGGATATACGATTGTAGACACAAATACTCAGCGAGGTAAACGCATTTCATAAAATATAGAGGTACAAATAGGTTCGAAAGCTATTTTACGGGATATAGTTCTTGGAACTGTACTTTAGGCAATCGTGCGTCTATAGTGGGAATAGCTACTCACATACTGGTGTACTGCTAAATAGTAAATGAGCGAAGGCGGCAATTTCATAAAGCGAGAAGCTAGATGAAGCTTTAAGAAGCGTATTAGAAATACTGGGTGGCTCAAAAAAGAGGCGAGGTAGATCAGATACCGTCTCAGGGTGAGGTCGACCTAGGCCATATTGAACTTCGCCGAGGCGTTACAGTAGTTTATTGCCGCACACTGCAAGAGCTACCCAACAGCAGAAATAGCATCAAAGACGACAAACCATGATGGGCTTTATATTTATTAAAGTGGAATGTTTTATGTATACTGAAAGGGAGATACAAGTTGTACCCTGGATCACTGTCGATGCCAAGACTCCGATTAACTATTCATATATATATACTATTTTCCTTCAGATGTTCAGGAAATGGCCTTACTGACGAAAAATGTGCAGTATTGGATGATATTCGCTCAATAGCACTTTTCAATTATATACCAAGATAGACCAACTCTGACGGTAATCTATAAGCGGCTTAATTAACATTCAGCACAATCATAGCAAAATACCTTTTGGAAAAATCTAGATTCAAAAATTCGTAAGATCTTTTATTCCCAGGGACGAGCTGGTGATTGCACCCACATAGTGCAGGTAGATCAATATCAGTAACTGTATACAAGTCAATTAGAATTATCTAAATTGGCCAAGGGCC